TGTAAGTAATGTTACAGGTTTGTACAGCCATAAAATAAAGTCCAATAGCAGAAAGAGAGCAAGAAAATCATGATGTCATGGGAAGATGCAGTAAAAAAAGAGCAAGGCAAAAAAAATATCAGTATCAACACAGTTCCTTTATTGTCAGTCAGGCATTTGTAAATGAATGTTCTGCTGAAAAAAAGAAACTGGAGCCACCGGTCCACCACCTAGTCCAAATCCAACGGTTCCATGGCCTTATCAATGGACTAGTTATATTAGACCACCTGGTCAAACAAGGGAGGGAGGGGAGTAGTTCCAATCTGGAACAAATGTATCCCAGGCAGCGTGTGGTAGGCGTAGCTGTAGCGAAGACAATGGACTAAAGATAAGTGTACCCAAGTGAATGGGACAGCAATGTACATGGGCAACACAAGGGGATGAACCTTCTCCAGCTCAAAAACTACCCACCCACGCTCCAACCAGGCAGGACGAGTGACCGATGTTTTAATGGTATATGATGAAAAATTGACGTCATGGAGATAGACCTTTTTCCCAACTTGGACCGGCCGCCGGGGCTTTGCTGATATCAGCAGCAGCACGTGGTGGTCAATGGATTGGCGACGGAAATGGATAGAAAGTGGTGACATCAGATATGGTGGGAGAGCAAAAAAGATGAGGAGGAGGAGGGTGGAAGTGACGAGGAGGTGAACTAAAATAGGGATTAAAGAAGCGACTGTCAGGTGAGAATAAAAAGGAGAGTAAGGGACCCATGGTGGGGCTAGGCAAAGGAAGGGAAGTGAAGGAAACGACAAAAGCGAAGGCGCAATGTGTAGCCAGTGGCAATGCAAAAATATGCTGAAATGCCGAAACACGGAAAGTACCGAATGGAAAAGCAAAGGTGAGTGTGACTGAATTCCTATTCCACGTGGCACTGTGCCTGTGTGGCGCAAAGGCGAGTCTTTTTGAACATTCACTTCATTATTGACATCTGTCCATGCTACCAATCAACTTTGGTGCATGACAGTGCCTCTTTTTATTTTTGTTATGAAGTGTGATTGGATTATGTTTGCACCTTTTGGTGGTGTCACAAGGTCCCAGGTGTGTAGATCTTCTATCTGTTTGAGTTCTTCCTCCATTGCTAATCTCCATTCTTTTTTTTCTGGTCCTTTGAGTGCTTCATATAGAGGTGGACTATCTTCATCCGGGATATGTGCACTCATTGCTATATTCTAATGATTTTCTTTGTCATCTTCCCTCCCTTCTGTCTCTAGGTTGTATGCAACAAATGCACTAGCCCTTCCTTTGTGTAGGTCCTTGTAATATCCTGCTGGTTTTGTTGCCGTTTTTCATCTAGGTCTTTGTCCGAGTATTACTGGAGTTGGTTGTGAAGGAGCCTTTGGGGGTTGTGACAAAGTCTTTGTTGGTTGTATAGGAGGGACCTTGTTGTTGGTGCTCTGGATCAGGAACTGGTCAGTGTCAATATCATCTTGGACTGGTAAGTTCTCGTTTGGTATGAATTTGACATTGCGCTCTACGCTGATCTTTCTCTTCTCTGGCCAGAAGATTCAATATCCTTTACTTTTGGCATTGTATCCAACAAATTTTCCTACTTTAGCACGTGTATCAAGTTTTCCCGCCAATTCATCCTTTACATAGGCCAAACATCTGAATTCTTTGAGATCTGATGGGTCTGGTATTTTTCAGTTTGCTAGTTTGTATGGGGCTTTGCCTTTATTGGCTTTCGTTGGTGAGCAATTCTTTATCCGGTGTCATGCACCAAAGTTGATTGGTAGCATGGACAGGTGTCAATAACGAAGCAAATATTCAAAAAGACTCGCCTTTGCGCCACACAGGCACAGTGCCACGTGGAATAGTAATTAATATTGCCTTTTTCGAACTTGTGGCTGATCAGCATCACCTCTATTAGGCAATCCAGTCACGCTCACCTTTGCTTTTCCATTCGGTACTTTCCGCATTTTGGCATTTTGGCAAATTTTTGCGTCGCCACTGGCTACACATTGCATTGCGCCCTCGCTTTTGTCGTTTCCCTTACTCCCCTTCCTTTGCCTAGCCCCACCATGGGCCCCTTCCTCTCCTTTTTATTCTCACCTGACAGTCGTTTCTGGATCCCCATTCTAATCCACTTTTTCGTCACCTCCACCCTCCTCCTCCTCATCTTATTTGCACCCCCACCATTTCTGATGTCACCACTTCCTATCCGCTTCCGTCGCCGATCCGTTGACTACCACGTGCCACTGCTGATATCAGCAAAGCCCCGGCGGCCGGTCCAAATAGGGCAACAGGTCCATCTTCATGACGTCGATCTGCCATCACATACTATCAAAACATTGGTCGCTCGTCTTGCCTGGTTGGAGCATGGGTGGGTAGTTTTTGAGCTGGAGAAGGTTCATCCCCTTGCGTCGCCCATGTTCATCGCTGTCCCATTCACTTGGGTACACTTATCTTTTGTCCATCGTCTTCGCTACAGCTACATGTCACGATCCTTATCTTTTACACCCAATACTTCACCTTTCATCTCTAACTCTGACGTAGAAACACTTATCTCTCCTTATCTTATCACGTAGTTTTCCTTATCTTATCTTCTTATCTCATCACGTGACCCAAGTCACATGATCACTTACGAATCATCTTACAAAGCTAAACACAATACATCCTCATGTCTATCAGTCAGCGCCTCATGGCTGACATGAGTTCTTACATATATAAGTAGACACTCAACGATGTACATACCTTAGCTTTTGATTTCGTCTTTATACACTTGTTCAACTACTTGCTAGAGATTGACGTTGAGTTGCCTGGTTTCTTCCAGTAGTGCAACTCAGTCGTTATACTACACCTACCACACGCTGCCTGGGACTCACTTGTTCCAAATTGGAACTACTCCTCTCCCTCCCTCGTTTGATCAGGTGGTCCAACACAACCAGTCCATTGGTAAGGCCATGGAACTGTCGGACTTGGACTAGGTGGTGGACCGGTGGCTCCAGTTTCTTTTTTTTCAGCAGAACATTCATTTACAGTGCGATTATTTTTGATTTTTGAATCATTTTTATGGACACATATTTTTTTAGAATGCCTGACTGACAATAAAGGAACTGTGTTGATACTGATAGTGTTTTGCCTTGCCCTTTTTTTACTGCATCTTCCCATGACATCATGATTTTCCTGCTCTCTTTTTGCTATTGGACTTTACTTTATGGCTGTACAAACCTGTGACATTACTCACAGCATTCATTGTTCTATCCCTTTCTTTTCCTTTTTTTGACAATCTTATCCTGTACTACCTACGCAGGATTTGTCAGCATACATTCCTTCCTTCATATTCTTTCTCATTCTTTTTGCACAGCTATACTGTGCATAGCCTACCTTTCTTTTACTATATAAACCCCTGTATTTTACCTTGTAAAAAAACATGAACTCAAATCCAGACTTCTTCTCTAAATCTCAAGTTCACTACTCTGCTACTTGTGATCCAGTGTGGTCACAACACTTCCCACTGCTACCACTGTTAACTGCTGTCATCGTCATTTGCCACTTTTGAAGTCATTGTCATCCCTTTCGATTAGAGTCCTTCTGAGCACTACAGTTTGTGCATCAGGAGCCTGCTATCACTGGGAACCTCGTCACCTCGTCATCCTTGTCGTTCTCAAACCTACCTTGTGCTACAATTAGCAAGGTAGTGCTCGTCTATACTCGCCACAAAGCCCCTATCTTTCTATATTCCAACTATCCCTCCTCCTCAAAACCCACACCCATACATCTCTGGGTTTTACTTTGAAGGATCCTTATACATACCACCCCACAAACAACCAGAGCACCCACTGTTCTAGGAGGCAAAGCCCATAAACAAGTTCCGTGGAATCTGGGAGGATTGTGTATTAGTTTGTTTTTGTGTGTGGTTTTCTAACAACAGTTCTCATCATCGACACCGTGTGACCAGCTTCACTGCATGAGATACTAGTATCTAAAATAAGAAGAAAGGCCGTGCGGTGCAAGAAAGAGGAGTTTGAACAAAAGGGAAAGTGCTGCATGGCACTGTGTGTGAAAACTACAGAAAAGGTTAAAGAGGAGAATGAAAATAAATGGTCCAAAAATGTGTTATCGTAGGTCTCCAGGATGTTTCAAGCCTTTGAAACAATGTCCTGAAGATTGACCTTCATGCGCTTGGTTGCCTTGATTTGGATTGGATCTTGAGGCTGGATGTCTTGATCCTCACATTGTTCAGTGTGTATTGTTTCTAGAGTGTCAGAATTTAGACAACCTGGGTACTTACACTCTGCTGGGCCAACCATTTCCTCCTTTTCCTCAAGGTCATCAAGAGCAGAATTGAGGTAAAATGCTGATGCCATTGCGTGTCTACCTACAATCAGATCTACTGTAGTACTATGGTATGGCAAGAACTGAGGGATGGTTAGAACCGGCCTGGGGTCAATCTACCCCCTCCTACATATATGAATTGCACCAGGTCCTAGGATGTAAAATTCTGCATGAATTTTAAGCTCCGCATCCTAGGATCTGGAACCGAGATTAGTCACAAGGGCTGCACCCTATGACATTATCAGCCACCCCATTTAGCAATTGTATAGTACATATGTACAAACAAAACCTGTAGTAGTACACACACCCCAACAGACCAAGGAGACTCCTCAGCAAGTCCACCTGTTGTTTACCCACAACAAACTCAGTCCAAGAGATACAAGCATTACCTCATTCAAAAACACCATCAAGAACAACCCTCACTTGCTGGATTGTCTGTCCTTGACCTTTGTGGATTGGGGTTGCTGAAGCTAAGATGGGCAACACCTTATACCCATTCGTAAATCACCATGATGCTTAGAAGATATTGTGGGACAGTGTTACCTGGTTTCTATTTTCCCCTTATTATCAACCTGTTTGAAATTGTCTTGCCATCACAAGGATAGCATCTGAGCCATCTGTTAAAAAATGAACAAAAAAGTATCTCATTGAAGCACCAATGCCACTAGAAGCAGCCACATTAGAAGCGAAAGATCTGCCACCTAATGCATAGGGCATAGGCACCAATGTGATGATTTCTCCAACATTGAGACACTGCTGAATGGAAAGGAGGGAGCATTTCGAAAATTGCTACTGAGGCTTGCACAAACCATCCCATACATAGGCAGGTCAGGAGAGAATTAATAAGGTCTCGTAGCTATCAATTCATGTGTTAAGGTCTCCAAGTAGCATAAATCAACATGTCCTATCACACCAACTTTAGGCAGCCAGCATTTTCCTTCCTCGATTGCCCATTTCCATTTCTATAACAGAATTAGTCCAAAGCTGTCATATATGCATCAAGCCTCACCAGATAGCGAATCAGCTCTTTGTCCTCAGGAACGACTCTTTTCCACTCATTGTATTCAGACTTTACGCAAAAGATACGATAAGAATCAAGAGCGTAAGGCCCCATACCCGGCATATGAGAGACCGGAGTCATGGGGTACTGTAAGCGGCAACGGCGGTAATGCTGATAACGTCTATGTTGATGAGATGGCAAACCTTGAGGAGAAGAGCCCAAGGCACCGATATAGATATAACCAAGATAATGGGGCTTGTTAGATTTGCGCAAAACATTTGGTTGAGGGGGATCTTCCACGTAAGCTTGAGACAACCGGATGAAATGACGTGCACGCTTGTTTTGAAGACCTAGGCTTTGAATGACTGAAACTATGTCTTCCACTTTGGCTACATACATTTAGCTTGACATTAAAAGGTTTTATCGGTGAACATATAGAATTTCACCTTGACGAAGAGCATCAGCGGTAGGCCATCTCTGCATTACTTTATGAAAAATGGGTATTGCAAATTTTCCCAGTGATGCGTTTAATAGCGACACTGCAATCAGAAGTTTCCATGGGTCGTCTGCAACACTTTCTAGGACAACATATGTAAACATGAGGGTATGAAATACAATACAAAGATCACCTTGAATCAATATAGGTTTAGCTAACCACAGTTGGTCATAAATGGGTCCAAATTGACTAAATAGCTTGATATTGACCCAAGGATTCGGGTTATCATGCAATACTGGTGAGCGGTCTGACTTCGGGGCTATGTGTGATGACAGTTCCTTCATTCGATCGCGACCCGAATTGAAGTCCCGATGTTGAGACTGAATGAAAAAACGAGACGTGACAGTACGTTGACCCGTAAAGTCATTCTCGCATCTGTGATCGTTTTGCATGGGCAAATCAGAGGACTCGGTATAGTCAAGTCGATTGTAAGTGACTGGATCAGCCCAATCCGTGGCATAGGAACTGTGCCATGCTTGATGTGGTATTCCTCCTTCACATTGAGTTGCCTTCTCCTTCCCTTCCGACGGTGACGATGTAGCTGGACGAAAGCAATGCTGACTTATCTCTTCCTCAGGGAGATAGCCGGGTCTGAATTGCGAGGGCCTGGGTGAATTGCAGACCATCGTGATATCTTGCCTCCCAAGTTGTACGAAATAATGAGACTTGACTATTGTTTGGCCATCCACTTCAATGTTGCCAGCTTCGCTCGTAACATCGGTTGATCCTAACAGAGACATGGACGGCTCACGGTTGCCTATTCGATCGCCAAAGTACTTGGACGTAGTAGATGTTGCGGATGGCGTATGCATGAGTTTCGAGATTTGATTAGAATGGAGCGATGATGCTATTGCGAGGTTATTAAATAGCCGTGAGAAAGAGCCCTAGTCGTGTGGCGCTGGTGTTCCGTGCTTAGCCCAGGTTCAATGTCCACAACGGCGATGAAAGCCTCTTCCTCAGCATCGACTTCTACACCTGTAGCTCACAATGCACTTCCACCGCCTTCTGCGTCGACGGCAGCCCGCTCCTCACGGATTGCCCCCCATTCTCATATAAAAGGATTGGGCCTCACTTCAGAAGTTTTGGCTGCTCCTGATGGGGCTGGATTCATTGGTCAGACAAATGCTCGAGAGGTAGAGTGCCATCACAGGGATGATTAATTTGATGTACTAAACCATCTTCGAAAACAGGCATGTGGCGTGGTAGTCGATCTCATAAAATCTCGCAGGTTCTCTGGACGAGCGTTGCTCCTGGTGGGCGCACCTGGTACGGGAAAAACTGCTTTAGCTTTAGCCGTATCACACGAGCTCGGAGTCAAAGTTCCATTTTGTCCTATGGTGGGCTCTGAAGTATATAGCACGGAAGTCAAAAAGACTGAAGTTTTGGCTGAAGCTTTTCGAAGGGCGATAGGTGCGTTTCTTCCAAACAGATATTCTGGTATTGCATGAGGACCCATATGCGACTTCAGTCTGTCTACTCATTATACGTGAAACAGCTCCTAATCTCTGTGTCTGAACTGTGTAGGACTGCGAATTAAAGAAACAAAGGAAGTCTATGAAGGCGAGGTCACAGAACTCACACCATCCGAGTCGGAGAACCCTTTGAGTGGCTACGGAAAGACCGTATCTCACGTCATCGTCGGTCTCAAAACAGTCAAAGGTACAAAGCAACTACGTTTGGATCCCACTATATACGAAGCAATCATTAAGGAAAAGATTGTGGTTGGTGATGTCATTTACGTGGAAGCCAATACTGGTGCAGTGAAGGTATGTTTTCTTAAAACAGGAATAATTTTACCCTTTTACCCTTTTTAAAACAGCGAGTTGGTCGTTCGGATGCCTACGCCTCTTCATACGATCTCGAATCCGAGACTTACGTCCCGCTGCCAAAAGGTGACGTCCACAAACGCAAAGAGCTCGTTCAAGATGTGACATTAGGTGATTTGGATGCGGCAAATGCAAGGCCCCAGGGTGGTCAAGATATCATGAGCGTTATGGGTAGTCTAATGAAAAGTGGTCGGACTGAGGTAACGGACAAACTCAGAAGAGAGGTGAACAAGGTGGTCAAGGGCTATGTTGATCAAGGTGTGGCGGAGGTCGTTCCTGGGGTAGTGTTCATCGATGAGGCAAGCGATGTTTTCATGCTGTTATTGATAATGATTTAACTGTGCCGGATGGTGCACGAGCAGGTGCACATGCTTGATATCGAATGTTTCACGTACTTGAACGCACTATTGGAATCGCCCATGGCTCCTACCGTTATTCTCGCTACTAATCGCGGCAATGCACTTGTGCGCGGGACGACCGATATAGTATCTCCCCATGGTATTCCAGTGGATCTCCTTGATCGGTAAGCACTGCAAAATCTCTGTTAACTTTTTGCTGGACAATACTTAATTTGGTTGTAGTTGTCTTATTGTGAAAACCGATGGATACTCTCAAGAACAAGTTGGCAAAGTTGTTCAAGTGCGAGCAAATGTCGAAGGTCTCAAGCTTGGCCCAGGCGTTTTGGAGCGTTTGGCTCAAGAAGGAGAACGAGGGTCTTTGAGGTACTGTTCCCATTTCTGCCCATATATATGACCCGTGGATTCAACTGTGAACGTCCTATACTCTCGCAGATATGCCCTCCAGCTTCTGACTCCCGCGTCTATTCTTGCGGGGCTTGCGGGACGTAATCACATAGATGTGGAAGATATCGGGGAAATGAATGAGTTATTCTTGGACGCGAAAACTTCGGCAGGCAACATTGGCGGGGAAGGGGGATTTGACGGAGGACGGATGTGGTAGGTGGCGATAACCAGATAACAATGTGTACAGTGTGGATATCAGTAGTAATTGAGCATACATTGTTAGATAATATGCACCTGTTGAATCCTATAGATGACATTTATAAAAGTATATAACCAAAATGACACGTTAATCTGCTTTGCGTCAAGTGATGACTAACAGTTGAAAAAGATCGTCAATCTGGCAAGGACTGAATCGAGTTTTGAGGCATAACACATAACACTGGCATTTCGGAACGGACCCCGTGGGCGCTCAATGTATCAGCGATGCACTCATGCCTGGAGTTCTGGCCCATGGCTGGCTCAAAAAGCGTTTCAATTTGCAATGTCACTTTTTCGTCCTTGGAATAGCGAGACGAGGCCGCTATGATGATAAAATCGTATGCATAAGTAGGTGGACAGTAGACAATGAGCCGAGCGCTCGCTGAGTGAAACAGGTCAGCGAGTGTGCCATTTCCAGGTCCGCGTTTGGCAAGTTCAGCTCTGCTGATCCGCTGTAGAGTGGATGCACGAAACAGAAACAGTGGGACAGTCAAGCGCTCGCCATTTGCGCCTTTCTCAGCACTGCATGCGGCGTGATCTTCCGCAGACCTAGCCTATAAATCCACATGTGAGACTGTCGTTTCAAGCCTTCCTACACTTCAGTCTCAAGTTACACATTGACCACGCTCTTTCATGAGATCTATACAGCTACCTTACACCCTGGAGGACCGCAGCGGCCTTCTGTCTGCGTCAGACTATGGTGATATATACGATCGCCTCTTTCTTCGTGTGGCACCCCATCCTCAGCAGCCAGAAAGGAACGTTTGGGCGATCTATAACATGGGACGGCGTTCGTCTCGTCATGGTGACTCCCGTCATTTCGACAAACACCCCGCCGTAGTCCTAGTGTTTGGTAAAGATGGCGAACTTGGTGACATTCATTTTGTGCAGCCTCCTGCCAGCTCGTCAGTCCCTATGAGCAAGTATTTACGCAAAACGACATTGTTTGGAGGGTAAACTCTTAGTACATCTCTCTCGATTGAAGAGCTGCTGAACGAGTGTAATTTAGGTCATTGTCTCGGAAATTCAAAGGCTCAGATGGTGGAGAGTACCGGTGGATATACCAAACAGTCGATAATCACGAGTGGTCGGTGAGCGTGCTATACATCCTAACTTCTACGTCTAGCTAACTATGTAATCGCTTGGAACAGTGCTTGAATGGAGAAAATTACCTAGTCGCACACTTCGACCTCAAGCCTCCCAATATACCAGTGTATGGCGTCTCCGGAAACACCTTAACTGTCCATGAAGGTTTCGCCCATCTTGTCATTGGTAAATGCATACCAACTCGCTCTCCGTTCTGTCTTCTTATCGCTCCCTGTGAAGAAATTCTCGCATCGCTGACCATCATGCGTTACATCGCCGAGCATCGTCTATGATGAGCGAGGTCATGTCTAATGTCTACGCATACCACTATTACGTGATGGAAACCTGTATGGGTAGCCTGTAATAGGCCTTTGTCTAGACTGTGCACGCTCTCCATTCTTTTGATTACCAGTTGGACTGATATAGGTCGATGCACTCCTGGACTGTGGTGGAGTGCTGTTAGGAGTGATGTCTATCTTACTACGTCATTATATGAACAATGCAAACAGGAAAGCTACAACTATTAGTACAAGACACGAGAGGAGAACAGTTACGGATAACCGGATAGCCTGTACTATCGTTATCGTGACATGGGGCCTCGATCCATTGATCCGGGCGGATTAAGCAAAGACTGCAACTACAGCATCAATGAGAAAGAAGATAAACCAACAAGAAGGATGGTCTGCATGCCTGATCTAAAACGGCAGATGATGATAATCCATCTTGCTGTTCTTCATCTTGGAGCTTGAGTGAAGAAACCTGAGCATCGCTATCCTGATGTGACGAACCCTGGGGTGAATGATGAAATAGCGAATGCTATTGTAATACATAATGTACATACATGATCCCTTCTGCTGCCCGGAACCCCACTTTTCTTCGATGATCCTATGCCAGCATTGCTTAGAGATGCTGGTATAGGGGGGAACGGCTCGTCTCTTGGCACGATGTCGATGAGAAAGTCGAACTGATCCGACTTGCTTAATGCTTTGGCAATATCTGCGCGAGATAGGGTGCGCCGCTTGTTGGAGTCGGCGATGATGAATGCGCGAGCGGTTATTTCTGATATGAAGACTACAAAGTCAACTCAACATTGTAAGTGGACCTGACTACTGGAAATGACTTGAGACTGACTTTCGCAAGCTTTGCAGAAGAGTATGGGGGCTGCGACAAACGGTTATAAGACTGTTTAGGGTAGACAGATAAGCCAATAGGCCGTACCATCTGCTGCTATCATCTATGGGTGGAGTTGACGCGTTTATTTGAGTGCGAGTTTCAAGTAAGAAGTGCTCACTTTCACGTCTGGATCACTTTTCATGACCTTTTTAATCCTGGCAAGAGGAAGAGGAGGGTGGCGGTAATCTGGTGTTTCCTGCTCAGCTGCATCGACCTGTCGCTGCCAGAAAGAGCGCAGAAATTCGTTGAGAGGCTCTCCAGCTTGAACATATGGTTTTGACATGTCAGACGAGGATAGCGGGAACGAGTCCTTGCAGGTTGTGCATGTAGCGCGGGTAAGCCCTAACCCTATCCTGGGTGTTGTGCATGTGGGAAAGTCAACGTGGAATGTTTGGTTGCAGTCCAACGCGACTATAAGCAGCTTGTCGCGTTATTGCTCACTTCACCGTTTCGTTGCTGCAGCTGGTTTGCTTTCATTCCGCAATGCGCCTTTTGGCACTTTCTTCACTTCTCATACTCGCCATTGGCACAAGCGCAGACCCTTCTGCTGGCTCGTCGCTGTACCCGCCTGGTCTCCTGCCGTTAATCAACCGGGCTAATACCCTTCTCTCCTCCGGTCAGTTTGGTGAAGCTGCAAAGACTTACTCAGAAGCAATAGGTATGGTCTCTATACCATTCGGTCAATGTAGTGCATCTAAATTAACACCCCCCAGAATTATCTCCAGTTGACTATGTCTTATATTATAAGCGTGCAACTGCCTACTTCTCTTCCAACAGACACTCTAATGCTTTAGAGGACTTTGACAAAGTGCTGTCGCTGACATCTGATACCTTCGATAACGCATTCTTAATGAAAGCCAAAATACATACCAAGGAAGGCAACTGGCAAGCTGCCCGTGATGCATTGCAACGTTACTCTACCAAGGTCAAGGATGATCCTTCTGCCTCCTCACTACAAGCAGATATCTCTGAAGGGGAGAGTGCTTCACAAAAAACGGTGAACATGCGACGAGCCCAACTTTGGACAGCTTGTTCAGAGGCAGCGACACAGGTTTTGAGAATTGCATCACACTCCATTGATATACGACAGCATCGAGCCGAGTGTAACCTTGCGGCGGGGGAAATCGAAGGTGCCGTGCTTGACTTGAGGTGTGTTTCTTGTTACATCTTTTCTTCTTTTCATCTTGATCCTCCTTTTGTGCAATAGCCGGCTCACTCATCTCACCACTACCTCCACTACTTCACTCATGCGCATATTCCGCCTGTCTTATTTTTATCTTCCTCCACCTACATTTTCTTCGCCTACCTCCGCACTTTCTACTCTGAAGCAGTGTCTCCACCTGGACCCAGACTCCAAACAGTGTCTTCCGGCGCATCGATTGATTAAATCATTTGATAAAACGTTTGCGAAACTCGAAAAGCTGACCGCCGCGGAAGACTGGAGAGGTATTATTAGTCTTCTCGTCGGTTCAGGTAGCAATAAGAGCAACTTCCTGGGCGACGGCTTTGCACGCAAATTCGAGGATGCCCTCGAAGCCAATTCAGCGAAGGAACAACTCCTAGACATGTCACGCCCATCTTCTGCTTCTATATTGCTTCCAGTCGGTGCTAAAGTGAGTCCTCGCCGAAAAGAAATTTTGCGAGCGGTTTGTAGTGCATACGTGAAGATCGGGTCGGTTCGTAAAGCGGAGCCATGGTGTGACGCTTTGCTTGGTATGGATGGTGCAGATAACGATGCAGATGGTTTAGCCGGTAAAGGAGAAGCCTTGCTAGCTAGAGAAGAATGGGAGGAGGCTGTCAGGACATTTGAGAGAGCATTTGAAGCGAGTGGGAGGAGTAGTCGAGAAGTGAGCCCCAGATCGCTCTCTAATGATACGATCTACTCACCCTAGTCCCTATCTTTAGATCCTTTCGAAGCTGCAGAAAGCTCAAAGATTGCTGAAGCAATCAAAACAAAAAGATTACTATAAGGTTTTGGGAGTTGCGCGAGATGCAGACCAGCAGACTATTAAGAAGGCTTAGTATGTGCCTTTCGCGTCATCTCATCGCTATAAGTACTCAAAAGACCCACCTTAGCCGTAAGGCAGCTATTAAAGCTCATCCAGACAAAGGAGGAAGCGAGACGAAGATGGCAACGGTCAATGAAGCATATGAAGTGCTATCTAAACCAGGTTCGTAGGTCTGTTCTAGGCTCCGAATAAATGGTTAATGTCTGCGCACTCAGAGCTCCGCCAACGCTTTGACAATGGTGACGATCCTAACGATCCGATGTCTCAAGGCGGTGGAAATCCGTTTGGCGGAGGTTTTGCTGATAGCCCGTTCTCACACTTTTTCCAACAAGGACACAGTGGTGGCGGGGGTGGTGGCGGGGGTGGCGGATTCCAGTTTTCCTGGGGACGCGGACGGTGAGAATTGCTCTCACGAACGTAGGAATGTGGACAGGAAAGTTGCGTGGTTGGTATCATCTATCCTGTTGTACTTGTGGGGTTATTTTTTCGGCGATACTTACCTTTCTGGATATGTTGTATGTTCGCTGTGGACAAACTTACACGATCCGTGATACTATTGTACATATAATAGGAATGGCTACCAATCAAGACGTGCAGAACAGATATCACAGAATCACAGATAGGCTTTGGATGACATGAACGCTCTTGTTCTGTTGTATGCGAGGTGACTAATATCTGGCAGCTTGGGGGTGGCGGCGAGTTTCTATCCAATTTCCGAGTGCTCGATACTCGGCTCCGCGGTTATCTTAGCTAGATAGCGCCTTCTGTGAATGCGAGAGATGTGTATGCACAACATGCATCTGCACCCAGGTAATGATGGAGATTTGTCGGATATGGTGGAGGAATATGTTCTGAGCAGTTCAGCCCAGCGCGGTCTGATCTTGCCGCCGCGGTCCGCTTCGACCCAGATATCGACCAACCGAACACCCTCCAAGACGTTTCCTGGTCATATGGGCATACATTTTTTAGCGCACAGTGGTGTTGTGACATACCTTCTCTGTGATTCATAATAAGACAGACTAACACAGTTTGTATCAATAGCGAGCCTGAGCTTGCAGTTAATTTGGGGACTTTTGGCCACCATATAATGGCAATTGCTCACGAACATTCAAGTGAGTGAAGGACACACCGTCAGCTACCGCTCAATCCACATCTCACCATGATGGCAAGAGATCGCAAGTGGTCTATCCTCCTTGGCCCCGTATTTTCCGCAGTATGGCTATCAACGCTTGCCGGGGCAGGCTTGAGCCCCCTGGGCGTCCGCGATGATCTACACTTCAGCCTTGAAGCGCGTGGCATGAACATAGATGGGTCCCTTCCCATCTACAAAGACCCAAATGCAGACATTGAGGATCGTGTAAATGACCTCTTACCGCGGATGACTGTGCAAGAAAAAGTATCACAGCTGTGAGTTCACTATAGTGCGCTGCTTTGCTTTGGAATCGTTCTACTCTATCCCTGTCGTCCCACGAGGTGCTGATTTTTGAAGCAAATTTCAGGATTCAGGGCGACATAGATGGATGGATGAATATGACTGACCCTCTGGATGATACACTGACATACAATCAAACCGGTCTTGTACGACTATCATCTCTAAATATGGCAACTAACAAACAAACTATCATGAATCTAACAGGAACAAATGATGGAGTACAAGTCAGGAGCTATCTGGGCTGGCTATCTTGCCCCCTGGGACAAGATTGTATATGCAATCACAGTTGGTCAACAATATCTGATGGAGAATACAACCCTTGGCATACCTGCCATTGTACAGTCCGAAGGTCTATAAGCTCCTTCATTTTCAATGTGCTCTCGTAATCTGAGTCTCTATTAATGATAGGTCTTCATGGATTCACGGACAATGGCACGACTTGGCCATCCCCTATCGGACTTGCCGCGTCATTCAATGCTCCTCTGCTAACGGAAGCTGCCAGCACTATTTCCACCGAAGCTGAGGGTCTTGGCTACTCCCAGCTGTTTGCGCCTGTACTAGACCTTTCTAGAGAACTAAGGTGGGGAAGAGTAGAAGAAAACTACGGCGAAGATCCTTTCTTGTACGTCGTAATGCTTATTATTCCATTCCAAACTTGATATTGGTTTGCAGAACTAGTCAGATGGGGCGTGCGTATGTGACTGGCGTTCAATCCGGTAGGCGCAGAAATGTCAGCTCGACGGCTATCGCTAGGGTGGCAGCCACATGCAAACATTTTACTGCTTATGGCAGTCCACAAGGAGGCTTGTAGGTCATTTGGTCATATTCAGATCTTTTCTTTTCTGAGAGAGTCGTGGTCTGGGCCAGAAATATCGCCCAAGTTAGTGGGGGACAGCGCGAGCTGCACACCTATTACTTGAAGCCTTTCCACTATGCCTGTGTCGATGCTTTATCCATCATGACTGCATATGCGAGTTATGATGGAATCCCTAACGTCGCCAATACCCGTAAGCAGAAAGTATTATCTTATTATTGTCTACCCACCTGCTAATGATTCGCGGATGTCCTAGATCTGCTTACTGATATTGTCAGTGATAGTGCATTCCCATTTCGTTCGCCGTGCTGACCGATATATTAAGCTCCGTAATGAATGGGGATATCAATACTTCGTTACATCTGACGCTGGCTCTGTTGACCTTTTGATCACGCTTCATGGCGTCTGTGCAACCAGAGAGTGCGCGGCAAAAATCGCACTTGAGCACGGTCTCAGCGGAGAGATGGGGGGAGGAACGTATACTTATCTCACATTACCTGGTAAGGCGAATATTCCAACTGGCTCCACTCGTTGTGGCTTTTTGTTCTGACTTTATCAAAGACCAGATCCAGAACGGCACCGTAGGCATCAGTTATGTCGACGAGACGGTGAAAACCATACTCAGGACCAAATTCTCTCTTGGACTTTTCGAAAGTAAGCCGACCGCAAGACTCTTTTCCGCACTGTCATTGGCTCATCATCTTCCTCAGATCCATACCCATATCCGGATTATCGATCAACCCTTCGTACACAAGCTACTCGAGATCTTCTTCATCAAATGGAACGTGAAGCAATCATATTGTTGGAAAACAGAAACAGTGTTCTCCCACTGAGCACAAACATCAGCTCTATCGCCCTTATAGGACCTCAGTCAGACCGTGTTTCTGTGAGCCAGACTTGTCCTATGGTTTATCTGCTGAACGCTAATGGAACACAAAGTTCGGCGATTATGTATTCTACAACGCATCGCTCAATGGTATATCGCCGTTGGATGGTTTCAAGGAGTTCCTCGAAAACAGTTCCGTTCAAATCAACTTTGCGGAAGGATGCAAACTCTGGTCGAACGACGAATCTGAATTCCCTGCTGCCATTGCAGCAGCCAAAAAGTCGGATGTCGCCATTGTAATGGTAGGCACCTGGTCCTTGGATCAAACATTGTTGTGGACACCGGGGACAAATGCTACGACAGGAGAGCATGTAGATTTATCGGACCTCGACTTGGTTGGTGCTCAGTTCCCCCTTGTACAAGCCATTCAAGCGACTGGAACACCGACAATTGTGGTGTTCGTTAGCGGCAAACCTGTGACGAACCCTTGGATTCAAGAAAGTCAGTTCACTAATATTGTCTCGCACGGTCAACTGGACACTCATATTTGTGTAGATGTGGACGCTGTGATACAGCAGTTCTACCCCGGAGAGCTAGGCGGACTTGCCATTGCTGAGATAGTCTTTGGCGCCACTAACCCATCAGGTACCAAACTTTTTGGTAGCAAGCGTTTCAGTATCTCACTCGTGCATCTTATCATTAGGAAGATTACCTGTCTCCTTCCCCCGTAGCGTTGGAACGACTCCTGTCTTCTATAACTACCTCAAAGGAAGTAGACCGGTTTCTCCGGGTGAAATCACGCCGAACGGTACCCTGATCTTTGGACATCAAGTGAAGGAATTGCTTTTCTATTACTCACTTAATGCTGAGCCAGTTAACGCAGTATGTCCTTAACACCCCAGTCCCTACATGGAGTTTCGGGCATGGCTTGAGTTATACCACCTTTAATTAGTAGGTATTGCTCTGTCTCTGGTTTCTAGTGAATATGATGATACATCGAGCTAAACCCTTCCATAACAGCACCGATTTACAATTATCAAGCCCTACTATTGGCACAAGTGAGAACTTTAATGTCACAGTAACAGTACATAACACTGGATCAAGGGATGGAAAAGAAGTTGTTCAGGTGCGCAAAACCGTTATTAGCTGTCTGCAAACAAACCAATCAAATTTATCTCAGGTGTATATGACGGACATTGTTAGCTCCGTGGTGACACCAAACCAGGAACTGATAGGGTTTACGAAAGTGGATATCCCGTAAGTCATGTTACAGCTGAATAAAATATCTATGTTCCTGGCGCTGATCGAGGCGGTGTTCAACCAGGGCTGGGCAGTCTCAAACCGTTACTATCGAGGTCATGTCTTGGCAATTGGCGGTATGGACCGTACGGGAAGAGTGGGTCGTCGAGCCGGGGCAGTTTAACATCATGATCGGCAATAGCGCGTTAGCCGTCCTAAACACCACTCTTACTGTAGTCTGAGATAGGGGACGTGCGAGCTGTATTCGGACTTGTAAATTGATGTGTATATAACAAGCGTGAAATTTCTATTATACATTAGTACATAGTCCCTTTGAAGCCTTTGAAGTGGACATTCATCCCGGGCATGGCCCACCCCAATTAACGTTGGCCATCTGAACAACAATAAGCAAGGTGCTAAAGGGCATTTAGTTATTACTCACAAGCTTTACTCTCATATTTGCCTGTTGGCGAGATGATGATTAGCACGAGTGAACCCGCAGTAAAATCGAAGTCTTACCTTTTCCTACAATAACATTTTGGGGGTCCTGAGCTTTTCCGGTAATGTAATTCTCGAGAATACTTCTTGTACCACTAGCATAGCGTGCCTGGGCGTCAAGAGTGGTCCCCGAATAATGCGGAACCATGCCATTTCCGCCGCCGAGAGGGTTCTTCATAGTGCGCCAGACGTGATCTTTTGGTGCAGGCTGAACATTCCAAACATCACCAGCATATCCTGAAAACCATTGTGGTTCATACTGATTATTTTTACAAAGGTAAAAAGGTACTTACCTCTGAGGTGGCCGCTCTTAACAGCTTGTGCAACCGCATCTTTATCGCAGATGGCACCTCGGGCGGTATTAACTAGCCAGGCCCCCTGTCGCAAACCATGAGGACAGAGAACAGAAAAGCTGCAAGAACACTGACCTTCTTGAAGTGTTGAAGAAGGTCTGAGTTGACAAGTCCCTGAGTACCTTCGTGCAAAGGACAGTTGACAGTCACGACGTCACACTGCATCATGCCCTGAGTTGGAACTCAATCAAAAGAGAAAGTATAAATACCTGAGACACGAATTCCTAAAGCACGGCGGTATAATTAGATGGACATCATCCGGTGAGCATAAGATGTTAGACGGACTTTAAGATCGTCAACTTTTCTAACATTCACAGCCTTTGCTACTGCTGAAACAGATGTAAGTAGTGAAAGGATGGAGACGTAATACTCTTCACCCACCGTCAGGAAGAGAAGTGTAATCGTAGTAAAGAAGTTCTTTAGGGTCGAATGGAACCAGGCGTTGCAGTACACGATACCCGATCCGCCCGGCACCGATGGTACCAATGACCTTATTTTCAAGGTCGAAAGCATTTCTGGCGATATCAGATACTTGCCAATCGCCTCGTTCAATCATCTGAACGTCAATCAGCAAAATACAAAAGTGTGAAGGTGGTACTTGGCATACCTCGTGGGCAGGAACAAAGTTCCTGACGAGCAAAAGAATCGACATGACGACATGCTCCGCGACAGATGTGACATTGGAGCCAGAAACCTATGTGGGGGTAAATTCCAATGAGATTTAGTAGTGAACAGTAAAATGTCACCTCCAAGACTTGAACGCTTTTCTTTACAGCAGCATTAAGGTCGATGTGGTCCGAGCCCACGCCTGCAGTAATACAGATCTTTAGATTTTTGGCCTGATTGCTGAGTTAAGAACGAGACATCAGACATGAAAGTTAGTGACATACTTTTTCAAAAAGGTCTGCTGTCAGATATCCGGGGTGGAAAGGTGTTGTGACTAGGACTTCAGCCTATACAACAACATTGATTCAGTGTACTCGCATAATGGTGGAGTGTGAGTACTTACATCAGCTATGTGCTTTTGGAAGTCGCTGCTGGGTCCTTCCTTATCGTCGGAGACCTTTTAAACAACTATCAGCCTATTGCCGACTACGTGCTATGAGACTGGACCGTACGATTAGTTCGTGGCCGAGTGATTGAAGCCAAGGGCGTAAACCAAGCTACAGACGATGAGAATGAGAGTGATCCATAGCGAAAACTACACACCTGATTTTCAACGGTCCCCAAAAGACGTGGTTCTGCAACTGCAGCCTTGGCTCCACGATAGAGAATGGCAAGAACCTAGTAGCTAGATCAGCTTACAAGGCAGAGGGCCATGATTCGGGATGCAGACCTTCATGGTATAACAGGTGGTGGTTAGAGCAGGGAATGAGTTTGGAGTGATACATATAGGGTGCTTTTTATACCAGTTACACAGGAACCATACGGAGAGCGAACCATGACTTTGTACACAACCAAGGTCATCCGGAGTCTCTCCAATCTTGTCCCATCTTTACGGCAGGAACACTCCTCCAAAAATGGAAATACCTCCACGGAGAGAGCCGGAGGTCACGTGAGTATCCGACATCGTCCGCTTCTGTGGCTTCTTGCGGTGAATACTCAAGTGAATCCTTTAGACAATTCAACGCCCAGTTTGATGGTAAAGCGTGGCAGATGTACCATCTCCATCTGGGGCCATAGCAATATCCATATCATTGTTGCCTTTCCTGTAGTGCCTAGGTTGATCGCACTCAGACACTCGCAGATGTAATTCATCAAGAAGATATATTGACGAATCTCAAATACTAGAGAAACATCGACAGAGTGATACGAAAGGAATAAGTTAAAATAATGTAAACTATCGCGACACTATGCAATACCGTACGTAAATAATCATAACAAAAGACATACAATTATACATTTCAATCATTGGGGTATATCTTTTTTTGCACTAGGCTCGTCTGCTGATTGCAATGACAGGGTGGTTGAAGTCTGTTCTGACTGCAAAAGCGATGGCTGGTCTTTCTGTGCCTTCAATTCAGCCATGCGCTTGCGGACCTGTGTAGTCATGTGAATTGTCTTCATCATTCCCTGCGTATGATCTGGTTTCCATCCCTCCGGAAGTCGTTCGTCTTGCAGCCAATCGTGAAGAACGTTGACACTCAATCCCTCCTTATCAGCATTTTTGCCTCCAAGCACGCCGATCGCGATAGCCATCTCTCCCCTCGCAATTTCCGAGTGGACACCGTCTAGCGGTCTACATATCTTTTCCCTCCTGAATCGGATGCTGGCCACCCCTTCCATAGTGATCCTGCCTCCCATAGCACGACCCTCGGCGACAAGAGCATCCAGCAATGGTTCACATACTCTAGTCGACGCATATTCGTCATCAGCATTCTTGACATCCGGGTGCACAATAGAAGCGTCATGCTCGATACAGTTATGACGGGCAAGATCGCTGAGAGAAAGGCGACGGAATTGTAGTAGGAAACCGATACCTCCAATAGACAGGAAGCATGCGAGAAAAGTGGATAGGTGGTAGCCTTCTTTGAGAGAGCGGACAAGGTCGAAGAAACCTATGTCTCGACCATTACGAGGGCTTGAAGGAGCAGGCATCAGCGGATGAGTCAGTGATAGAGGATGGAAAATGAACGTACAGGTACCCATGGTTGGCGAGGGTGTTCAAAGCGGGACATGGAGAACGACTGTCTCCAGGTTGTCTGGGACAATAAGCATGGGTCTTCCCAGCAACGGGACAGACACCGGCATGATGAGAATGTTCGTGTGGGATCGTGGAAGATGAGGATGATGGTGAAGACATTGTGGTAGATGAGGATAACTGATTAGAAGATAAGGCCGTGTCTTTATACTCCAGAGTAATAAATTAGAGGAGCTGGAAGTGGAAGTATGAGAAGTAATATGTTCCTAGGTCGGAGGGTAGTAGATGGCGATTGCTGCCCTTTGCATTTGTGGTTATATAGGGTTGACAGAATCCCAACTGTTCGGTAATGTCCATTTGATAAGATCAGGCTGGTGCCCATATGACGACCCTGCAAAATGAAACGAGCGGTGCCGTGAGCGTCGTAAACGGTCGAGATCTGTGCGGACTGCAGTTCCAGGATATCAGTCAGATAGATTGGTCACAAGGTTGGATCAGCTACTATTACTTGATGTGTTTCTCCGAGGAAAGCAATATTATTACTGTACACCGAACGGTGTAAGTGATTCTGATTCTATGGCAAGGCTGTGAGGTCCTTGGGTCTCAGAGTTACTCAAGTAAGACAGTAACATGGTACAGAGAATACAATACCATGAACCTGATAAGACCACGGGCCATTGAAAACGCCTGCCTGTTACTCACAGTTGCAGTCGGCCCACCAATTTCGCCGGTTCGCTTATGTGGCTGTGGCAAGGACAACTTGGGAGAAAGTTCAGAAAAAAAGATCCGTTCAAACTTTCAATAGCAGAATTCATTACATATTTCTCCTTGGGTTTCCAGATCCAATGCCTTGCTGTGGACATAGTCATCGCTGTTGTCGTGCAGTCGGACCCGCACGCCTGCATTGATATGACTGGGGATGATTCATACTGACTCTAGTAGTATATTTCCCATAGTCCCCGACTCGGTTTCGATACTCAGGACTGTTGTCAATGGACAGCTTTCTGGCAGAGTCGACAGAGGGTCTTCAAAGATGAGTCGCATCGCTTATGCGATCATTGCGATGGCCGCTCACTAGCGCTCACTGCAGTGCCTTTTGTTTCATTATCACCTGTGTGGCTGTGGCTTCCATGATAAACTTTACTGGGCGCTCTTTTCCCTTACGGTTCTCTTTGAGTGTTCAGTTGCTGCGTTCGTTTCCAGCAGTTGTTTTCTCATGCTCTCCGCTGGCTCCGGGTACGCCTAAAAGTTTCTCCCTGAGATACGTCACTGGCTATAATCACAACTTGAATATTAGGTACTAAGTATACTAGCCTAGGTGGCTCTCAGTCCATGTCGATTACCAGCCCACTACTGATAGACAGCCCGTCTTTATTTAAGCTATACTCGTGATAGAGTCGTAGGCAATACATACTTTTTTCAGGTGCAAAATGCCGGAGGCATAAAATAAGTGCTCCATCACACGCTTGAAATCAAGTTTGGGAGTTGGGCGCTGATCATGATGCATCACCACTGCCTCCCCAATGTAAAATTAACAAAATAACATGTATCTTCAAGTCCAAGGTGTGGCTATGACTGATTACCGCCACTTTTTTGGGATATCTACTTCTTGCGGTAAGCGATAGCATCTTCTGCACTGGTCCGCCACTGACAGCATCCATCATATATCTTACTCAACATTCCACCTATTGACAGTCAACACTAGCACCATCACATGACCATGGAAACGGTCTGTAGATCACTTGTTTTTCCCAAGAAGTAACATGTGGACATATCTGCGCGTGCTGTCAAATCGAAACTTGCATCGTTATTGTGGTTATTTTTTCTTCGACTCATTCAATCGCATTGATACACTCCGTTCTATATACAGACCAGATCAGGGCAGAAATTCATACTCGTTCGATTTTCCATGTCCCTGTACTGCACCTGATAAGAATAGAGCTCGCTGTGAATTGATAACGATAGACGGGTACCTCGGCGCAGCGCAATAACCGTTGACACACTATGAAGAACATTTCTAAAGACTCAACAGCAAGTAGCGTACAAGGCTCACAGGTTTACATTGAGCTGGTACGGGTACCAACCATTATTAGTCACTATCACTATCTGTACTACCTTCACTATCTCTGTCATCATCTGTACTACTTTCGTCGTCGCTCTGCTCCATCCCACCCTGGCTTCTCTTGACAGACCCACCACGCATGGCTGCCATTTGGCCAGCTAAAGTATCCTCCTCGGGCTCTGAAATATCATCTTCAGCCGCTTGCTCGTCGGCGGTGAGAGCAGCAACATCATCGATCTTGAGCTAATCATAGACTGGTGAGACAAACATAGATTGAAGATTCTCTCTACGCATACCGAAATATCTCTGCAAATTTCTTCATCGACAAATGTATCACTGACGAAGTAGATTTTCCAAGTGAACAGCCCCACGTTTTGGGGTGCTTGGAACTGTAGCTTGTAGGACCGGTAATCTCCGTCCTGATTAGAGTTCGACACAGGAATGTCAGTTACTTTCATTGGTGGAACAACAATTCGGTTGGATTTATCATCAGCAAGGACGAGCCACCAGCCGGCTTTGCGATACTAGAGTCGGTGTCAGTACGACCAGGAAAACAACCGTAAATAACCTACCCCTGGCCAAAACGGAGCGTGTGCCCAGCCACCTGCATTACCTTCCAAATCTTCAGCATCTTTTTTGCTGTTCAGAAATTCGTCATCTCGATCGTTTGAACTGCCTGGTTGATCTTTATTGGCACTTCCTGTTGCTGCCGATTCTGCCGATAAAGGACACAGGCGTAACTTGACGAAAAGGAAAACAATGGAAGAAGGGGTGACTAAACGTTCGCCAATCACTATAGCAAGATATTTAACTTAAAACCAAAAAGACGGCATGACCGGACCACAGACCTTTGAATGATACATCGACGATATCTAAACGACATCTATTTTGAAGAACTTTTTGCGCTTGCTCGGGCTTATTGTTATAGTCTCCTTTCATGATGTCTTTCACGGCGTCAGATTTGCGGCCTAAACTTGAAAAGTCGTCTGATGGGGAACCTTCCTTTTCGGGGAGCGAAGCCTGCACCATGCATGCATGCAAGCGCATCACCGAAAGTGTTGGTGACAGCCAACTTCGAGAAGCGGCAATGTTTAACAATGCATTCAAAAGTAAAGGCGTCTGCAGTATAACGTCTGTTTGCTCTATATGCACAATCAATGTGAACACGGTGAATATTATTAGAATACCAGAACTTACCACGTTCGATGGACGAAGGAAGCTGGAGATGCAGGAAGTGTGAATATAGGAAAATCAGGGCTTTTCTTTCTCGTTCATCTAATTTTCCATCTGTTCCCACCATTTTCTTGATATCGTTCCAGTCTTGACCCAGTTTCTCACTAATTTGTGCATCCAATGAATCTAGCTCACGCTGCTGCGTGCTTGGGGAATTTGTAATCTCCCAGCGGAATGCCCTGCCCAGCGAGCTTACAGCATCTTTCATACCAGATTCCTCCTTTAGCGACTTGAAAAAGTTGGCCGCAGTAAGTGCATTTATGCCATCTTTAGTTTTTTGACGACTACCAAACCACCAGCGACCCTACAAGGCATCAATTCGGAAAATGCACAAGAGAATAGATGATAATAAAAGAACCGCACCACTAGAGCAGGTAGCGCACCACCGAATATCAATCCGTATAACCCGAGTACCCAGATATTATTCTTTCCCTCGATAATCCATTTTGGCAGTGCTATACCCATCGACACTTCTTGGCGACCGTCAGGATGGCCGTAAAGTTCCCAATTCTGGCGTATTGTTTCATCCGTAAGTCTTGAAAAGGATATGGATAAGTACCCCCACGCGATTTGACCTGCTGGAGTCAACAAGGGAAAGGGACATACGACTTATAAGCTTTTGTGATATCTACAAATCGAGCGGCAATGTCTTCTGCTGTTTCATTGATTGAAGCTTTGACTTTATCAGGGTGACTGTAACACAGGTAAACAATCGCCTTCCCCAATAACGGAGACACGTACTATAAGCGCGATAGTTTTTTGAAGTGGGATTTGATTTCTTTTTCTGTTACGCCCTGGGCGGGGGTGAAGGTTAGACATGCGAAAACTGGGCTGCCGTAATAACTCACATTACGCAGACCAAGAATTTCAAAAGGATCATAAACCTTGCCTTCAACACTGGCATTCATAGCTTTGCGAGTAAGGAACGCAAAAAGTGACCATCCCAAGACAATGAAGAGAGACCTATGATCACTTTTCAGTTGGGAAAAGACAAGAACAAACATACGCAGATACGCACTTTGTGCTGACTCTAGGTTTCCACAGTGAACCTTGCTCTCGCTGTCTGATGCGAATCCTCATTTCGAGGCAAGGCTGGCACTGGCACCCGTCCAAAGTTTCCTTCTCTGCAGATAACAGGAAGTAAGTAGCATATATGAATGACTATTGTACAACATACTTGAAGATGAGGACGACAGAGATGAAAGGGTCATTGGAATGAGTACGAGAGCGAGGACGGTTATGACGAAGTAGGCTGCCATCGTGCCGGCTTCGTCATAATGGTAATTTGCCATGATGGCTGGTGTAGGCTTTGCAGCACTCGAGTCCTAATGTTCAGAATGTAAAGAGAGACAGATGGAACAAAATAACAAAACAGGTCACTTGCTGGCACTTGCAGCGCGTTTTAGACCGACGTGGCCAGTTTGCTTGCCTGCAGGAGACTTTGCAGGAAAACGCCCCGTGGGAATTCTGCGATAACCGTTGGCTGTCACTTTCAGTCACAGCTCCCTCTTCAAATCATGCGGTTCAAGATATGCACCAGTCCGCCTTTGCCTGACCTCAAGGCTTGGTTTGCTGTTGAGCTCAATGAGAAGACAAGAACGATATGGGATTTAAAACATGTCTTGCTCTCTGACCTCCATGTTCTCCAGGACTATCAAGCTAAGGATGGAATATCCTTGTCCATGGACGGGTTTGAGCTTTTAGACGAGACTCCTATCAACATTCTGCGAGATGGTGATTTGGTAGAGTCAGTCTTTGTTGAGTTATCCTATCTATCCATAAATTCTGATTTCATGTTATAGTATCAAACTCGACACAGTCTCCTCGAGACCACTTGCTAAAGAACCACTTGCCCATGTCACAGGCAAGACCAAGCAGGCCATCAAGGATTCACACTCAACAGACCTACCCGCAAAGCGAAAACGCTATGAAACCAGCTCATCCGAATCTTCCGAATCGTCAGGAAGCTCCTCAGAGTCGAGCACAACATCTGATTCGTCGAGCTCTAGTTCATCCGACGCCTCTTCCGAGTCAGAATCCGATTCTGACGATGCCGGTCATTTTCGTGTAGAGGCCACCTCTAAACTTACTCGCCCTTTTGAGAAGGAACTTGTACGCTCTTCAAAGACCGACTCTTCCAAGACTGTGCTGTGAGCTTCTACCATCGTAATTGTTTTTATGTGTGCCTTAACGCGTTATTTCAAGCCCCAAAGCGGTACCCCCAGGATTTGGCAAACCTGCTACGCGTAGCCGCAACTTGCGCCGACGGCGAAAGAGACTACATGAATCTGAACATAATCCGGAGACAGGCCCTCCACTTGGAACGTCTTCTGCGAATGCCATACCTATTGGCGAGGGAGTAGAGTATAGTGAAACCATAAACGATACCATCGAAGATGAGTTGGATGAATCCGCACCTTCTACGACTCCACAACTCATGATGTTATCGTACCGGAACAAAAACAAGAAGAAAGGTTTCAGACAGCTCATCACAAAACCACTACCGCAGAAAATTAGATTTGATGCTGGAATCGAGGCTATAGATGTTAACACTACCATTCCTCCCGCGCCTCCTGCACCAATAATGGACCAATATGTATCTGAGGAGAACACTGCTGTTGCACCGTCACTCCCCCATCTGATTCCTCCATCCGAGAGGCAACACCTGCCAAGCAACTTATTCGTTACATTTGTCGACGTGGAAGAGGGCTTGAACCCAAAAAAGAAGAAAAAGACACAGCACCGACGTGATCAGGTGTCTCTCGAACAACACAATACCTACGAGCCTCAGCAAGACGTGCTGGATTACGGGTGTCCACAAGATTCAAATGCGGTTCCGCAGAACTCTATCAATCCGATGCCTGTTTCCCATTCACCCAAAGACCCCAGCATTGCATATATAGAAAAACATTGGCCATCGTTTGTCCGAGTGACCGAAAAATCGCAATTACAGCCCGAGACCTTAGTGGGTTGGAAGGTTAGAATGCTGTCCATTCCAATTTACCAGGACCCTAATCATATTACTTTAGGCTCTTGCCGTCAATCCTTTGACGTGTACTCCTGAGATGCTCCTGACACTTGGGCATATCACTGAAATTGATGACGCACATGTCAAGGTACAACTAATCCATCGGCCCGCGCAAACTTCATTCGGGGGTATGCTGGATGACAGTGAGGGGACTTCGGAAGAGACGTTCATTTGGGAGGATGTTTTTGCATTAGACTGGAAAAGCATAATAGATGTCTGAGGCTAGAATGAAATGCTGTCATTTCCGCTGGAAGGTGCTCAAGTCTGCTGTGCATGCGTCTTATCCCCCTTGATTGTTCCATTACAAAAACAACATTCTATTCGGCAGTGGCAGACTGATAGCTAATTGACAGATCGGAAATAATGTGGTGCGCGATAAGATCTGTTGCTGTTACTACATTAGCTACATGAGGCTGAGGCTTTCTTTCATAGTAGGTGCAATCACCGTCAGTGCTGAAGTGACCCTGAACAGTCTGTCTCCACCACGATGCATGCCAATAATAACTTGTAGGGCACTTACGCGAGCTGCCCAGTCATTATAACCTCGAGTTCTCCTACCATCACGGCTCAGCGGCACTTACACTGATTTTCTACCTTAACATAGTCGATTTTCATTCAACTATCAGAACATTTCTGCAACTCAACATGTCCCTTCAACCTTGTAAGCATGGCTTTGGCTAATTAAGGGGGTCTCTCAGTCTGATGCTGGTCTCGATGAGGTGTAGCTATTCCTGAGAGCTTCAATAATCACGAAGAAAACATTTTAAACACAACAGTCACGCTGCTACTTTTCTTTATCTCAGCTCGAGTTTCGCTCTTTGCTGTCTATCTCCTAAATTGTCTCGCCACCAGTATTCTGAGGATAACCCTACGAATAATTGGTTTTGGGTCTAAAGGGCCTGTCAAAAGTATGTACCACGCATGTTTCTACTTTATCGAGAATACCCCCAACTGGTTCACTGCTACTGTCAGAAACTCCAGCGGCATCTATACAAGCGCGTTTATACGGAGGTAGAATTCCACAGGGTGGCTCATTCGCCTCGTCTCAGCGGGCAGGAATGGTGATGGGCCGATGAATAAACGTTTCAGCTTATCGGATGTACGTTCTTAAAACGTTGACTGGTATACAACTTAATATGTACAATATGGAACACTGGTACTGCGACCTTATGATATGTTTGTATGCACATGAATACCGTCAAAATTTGACATCACATTATGCAACATTACCTGTCACTGTAATACATGCCCATGCGCCACGATTTATGAGCAGTATCTAAAGCGATCGACAGGTCAGGAATGGCCAGTAAACCTAATGATGGGCTTATACACTAACCTCCTTTCACCGAAATCGCCCAGTCCTGGAATGATATATGCCTTCTCATTGAGCCCTTTATCGATCCATCCAGTAATCTGAGAATTGGGATGGCATCAATATATTGGTGCTAAATGCAGTTATATCCTTACCACGCGTAACGCAGGATACTTAGAGCAGAATGTCTTCAGTCCTTCAGGAGCAGAAATCTAAATGGCCGAATCTAAACAGTTATTCAAATTAGCTATGCTGTCGAATGCCGCACCAGGTTGATAAAGATGATACGATCTTCTGGAACACCGTGTTCGATAATGACTTCGACGGCTTTCATAGCCGATCCGCCAGTTGCTGCAGTGCCATCAAATAATCGTGACAGGAGCCAGGTAGAACATACAGACTACAAACCTAACATAGGATCCAATAACAACACGTAACGCGACGCGATGTCTTCCGGGAGCTGTACAGCCAACTTCGAATTAATCCTCTGACATAAACACAATACGAGGTTTACTGTTCAGTCGACCTTGGAATAAAATAACTTTGGTAGTGTTGTTTCCTCGTCCTATTCTCAGGATAGGGGTAAGATGACTGACAGACATTGTTAACGAGCCGATACACACCCTCTGAATCAATATTTTACCAATCCGCACGCTTCGGCAGACTTCCCGCAAACCGGCTTCCATGGCCTGCAATTGGCAAACTTCATGACCATATACTTTGTGTTTAGTTGATGATATTGGACGAACCTCTCCCGCCCTAAGGATAGAAACACCACATATTTTCCCTTCAAAACCAACACCCTCGTATGTAGCACCCTGAGTACGTAAATTGACATAGATGGTTGATCGATAAGTTAGACGATGATCTGAGCTTGACATGATATAGAACATACCGTAGGTGTCTGGACGGTCTTCGGTATGACAGGGAGATGGTTGAGACCTTCCTCAACTAGTAGCCGTATGATTCGGTCAGAATAGAACAGGAAATCTCCACGACTGGTGTCTTTATCGCGGATGATTGTGTACAGGGCCTCAAGCTGAGCGGTCTGGGGGAGCGTGAAGACCGACGGAGGCAGGGATGCAGGGCTGGTTTGAGATGTGGGAGCAGCACTGGTGGCCATTTTACAGGTTTTGGTTAATCGCTATGTATACAACAGCATGAAAACCGGAGAGTATTTGGTCACGTGAACTGGTAGTATATTAAATATTTCGAGAGCAGTATGGCACCTACTCAGGGGCATAACACAGGTAATATCGTATTGCGATCGTAAAAGAAGTACTCTCATCAGGCGCGTTTCACTCCAATAGCGACGAGCGCAGCGCCAATCCCCACTACCAGCTTTTCCCACCAAGAGGTAACAAACCTCATTCCAGCACGTTGCAAGAGTGAGAACCAGCTGCCCTTGGTCACAACTGCACCAAAGAAACGACGCTGGCACCATGCTGCAGCTGATCCTATAACATCAAATGGTAAGCAGTTGATACGACCTCTAGAAAAGAGGCTTACTACCTTTCACTGGCCCGTATGGCCCGAAACCAAAAAGACTCAAAAGGGGACGCAAAATAAAACCCTCGGGTATAAGCATTATGCTTGCGGTGACTACCAGTACATCAAAGAGCACAGGGTGCTCTTCTATCAAGTCTCCTGTGGATGCCATTCTCAATCAGCCAAGCATATCGAGTCATGAGACATATAGACTCACCGGTGAGTATTGTTAGCTTCTCGATGGGTGACTTGATACCATCAATGTGTGCCCTCAGGTTAGTCTCTGAGACGCCATACTTGACTCCTATATGAACAATTTCCTCTTCAACCCGATCCAATACCCGCGAGACCATCTCTTTGCGTAATTCGTGGCTCGGTGCTTCATCTGGTGCAGGGAACTCCACCTGGAGCTCATCAAGCACCTTAGCAAAGAGCGCAGCCAGCTCGTCGGACAAAGCCTCTAGAGTAATCCCATGGGCCTCCGCGGCTTTGCTCAGATCTTCACGAAGGCCACTGGCCTTGACCATGATGGCGGTCATAGTGGACTTGAATTCGTGGATCTTATCGACGACGTGATAATTATTTGCAATGTCGTCCAAAACCAGCAGAATATTAGTCTGTAGTGCTTTCCCGAGTGCTATAACACGTTCCCAGGCGTCAAATGGGAGGACAGAGGTATCAATCCCATTTGTATGAAGAGTAACTCCGCCATTTTCTTTGATATTTTCCAATGTATTGAATGGTCTGACCATTTCTGATAATTGGAACGGATGAATACTTCTGCAATCGTCGAAACAAATAAGGCCTACTAAAGAGATGTTCTGCATATGCAGAGGGATTCAAGTTAAAGATAACTGACAGGACTCTTTTAGTTACTTCAGCGAATTATTATACTGACCAGTACGCACTATTTGGCTTGACCATGGGAACGTCATGTTGTCCCGCCTGTACATCATATTTCTCGGGTTCAGGGCTCAATAATGCAGCATTGTCTCGGACGACGGTGGATGCGACCGACAATGAGCTACTACTAAGTATTATACTCAATGTTAGAGCGATTGTTGTAAACGAACGCATAGTTGAGAATGGATGGGAGAAAAGAGAAAAGTGACATTACTGAGCCACGTTATATACGTGCTCGAACATGGACCAAACAAAGAGATATATCCATGCAACGTGTCTGTTGGACGTAATACCGGTATTGAGTGGAAATGGGCCCCTGTACTAGCAAAGGCTATGTCAGTGGTACAGCATGTACAATATTGAATGTTGAAGAGCACTGGCTCAAGTCGTTTCTACTAGTGCATAAAACTCCGCGACAAGTGAAGCAAAGTGCTACCCCAAGTCATGCTAACAGAGGGTGGTGTTCCATACAGCCACTATCGTTGTTTTTGACACGATACATGTACTCTCGAGAAGACGTGAGCGTATTTCAGCGATTTTTACTCTGATTCCAACGATATGAGGTCTTGTCAGCTGAGTGGCGGAGTCGGAGTCGTCTGCTGCAGTTCAAGCTTTCAAGCGTCAAAAATTCAAAGCTCATCTCCGTGATATACTCATTCGTACAAGTCAAAATTCCGATTCGCAACTCCCTCTTCTCAGCCAAAATCCTTCAATACACGCACTACCAGCGGGGAAGACCTGTCTTCTGCATAACTTCCCTCAGCTTCTCGTATTGCTCCCGAGGGCAGAGTCAACTGTTGCGCAAGTTCTCGGCTGTCGGTGGTCGCAAAAACTAGACTCTTCATCCTAAATGGTATGCCTAGGGCAGATTGGAGTCTGGCGAACATCTTATAAGTAAAGGTTGCGCAAACGCTGTGTGTTTCCTCAGGCTCATACAGTCGATCCCTTGTCCCCAAATTTCACATACAATGACCATCCGACTATTTGTTTATTTTATTTGTTACAAGATCAGATTATCTTCCTGCCGATAGGGTTTGCTTATAGGAGACTATTGGAACGGCGACGCGCTGCCCGCGATGCCTACCGTGTTCTTCCAGATCGTCACTGCGTTGGGTGATGTAATACTAGGAGAACTGTATTCATATTTCTCTATGGCCTCTTCAGACGTCTACATCATGTACAGGGGTCCTACTCTAACCAGGGGATATCTTCAAAGCAGTTTTTAATGTTGACAGTATTACGGTTTTCACGCATGGTTCAGGTACTTTGGTGTGCTCATTCCCAAAATGTAATTGATGCAACACAACGCTCATCACTGCGGCCTGACTACTCAGTTTCATTTGTAAAAACCATTCAACGCAACCCCCCTGGGTTTCTTTCTGACACGCGAACTTGACCTAGTGACTCACCCACTAGGTCTGGGAAGCATTGACGTACTTCTTATCAGTCAACCAGAAGATACTTGACGTGCAAATGACTCCACGTAGCTGATTATCAATAAGAGTCTGTACTCGTGGTCGCCTTCTGCTACGTACAACATTAGCCTAGTCAATGTTTATCTTTCTCAATGGATCACCAATCACACGGACATCCAAACATGTTTTGTGCCCCCCTATCTTGGCCATACTGCTTTCCGCTCTTATCTTGCTAATTATCATACTACGGTGCTACATAAAGGAAGCTTGTCGAATCACTCGGTATTGTTGTAAAGACAACGAGTGTCCGAAACAACGCACGATGTCAGCTGATATCACTGTCTATCGATTTCCTGGTGTGATCCTTTGTGAACTAGGGGGCTCATAATCCACTGAAGTCCGATGCAAGAAAGTCATAAATTATCAACTGTCTTGTCACTATGCATGATATTACTCTTGGTCATTCATACCTACTAGAACAGTTTCGGTCTTTTGCCTCTTCGTCTGAGGAGTGGGAGAAGTTCTGTCGTACCCGCCCGTTGGGGGATCGCGACTAGTTTCGAACTGACCTCGCGTCCGCTTCTTCACGAGGATATCGACGAGCGAATACAATGCAGTCTTCCCGGCTTCCTTCATCGGATATCGAAGTTGCTCAATAAAAGAGCTATGAATGCCTTTGAACGCAGCTGGGTTGATCTTGCCATGTACCGCCTCGGCTGCGTTATAATGGTCGACAAGTATTTTCCTGATGGTACTGAGGCATACTACTGGGCCTCTAAAAGATCGAGGAAGACACCAAAGGCATTCCACGAGCCAATCCTCCGTCTTCAAAACAAGCCCTCTTCCCGTGCTTCCACCCAGCACCTCCGGGAAGAGGATCTGCGTTTGTTGGATCTGCTCTTTGATATTATCTTCCATCTCTTCGATGTCTCTGTGGTTGAATATCATCCACACACCAATCCACCACATTGATTCAAGGTCGTGCAAGGGATTGTAACGAAAAGCGGATCTCGATGTTGGCGCATCTGCGAGGGGATCTGCTAGAGACGGCTTGAAGTTGTACCGCTGAGCTTCAACCTCCACCGCCATAAAGTTGAGTGTCCCCTGAAAGAATGGAGCATCAGACAAGGCACATGCGAAAATAAGAAGGGAAGTGACATACGGTACGGATTTCATGAGTGCTTTCCTGGTCCGATTTCTTCGTAAATTCTAAGTCGCCCATTTTCCCATTGCCTTCATACACCAAGAGATTACCGGTGCTGACGTCTCGATGCACCCATCCGTATTTGTGCAAAAGTTGAAGGCCTGAATATGGCAAAACCTCAACTTACAGAAAATCACTACCAAGGCCGAATTACTTACTGGTGGTGCCATGTATCATTATTCGAAGGACATCAGCCAGGTATTTCAAAGTGTATATTGGCTGGGCGACTTCTTCAAAGACGATCCGATGGTGGACCTTGAACGAATACTGATAATGACCTGCATGAGGAGCACGAGTTTGCCCTGGGATACCCGAGGAAGGTGCAGAGCCGGTGCTAGAAACGGGATCAGCTGGAAGCTCCTTTCTTTGGAGTCGGAAACGAGAATCAGAGGGAATATTGACATTGCGCAAGTGTAAATCTCGCGTGTGATCAACATGCCCGTCGATAATGACATCTCCATGATCCAGTACCGTCAAGAAGTATTTCCGTATCTCGCCTTTGTCATCATCATCAGCTTCAGCTTCGAACGTTTTGCGGATATCTCCTTCCCTGTCACGGTCCTCGTCAACCCAAGCATCCTTGATAGCGACAGGTTTTCCTTCGACTTCGCCACTTTGGATATTGAATCGACGAGCTTTAAAAGACTCGAGTTCCTCGACCACGTAGCGCGTCAGCCCCAAAGTCAGACAGAATTCCCTCTGCGCGGTAGATAGCTGGAGCTTGTCCGTCTGCTCTGGAAGAATGTACAGTGATATCGTAGCAGATTTTCCCATCCACATTCACACGCTTTATGGTGGGGTCCCATCCAAGATCCGCCTTTTCCGCGTAGGTGAACGATAGAACGCAATGTATCAAAAACTCGTGTTCCTATAGGTACTACTTGAGAGGCAAATGCAGAATGGTACTATTTAACTGACCGTTATGAAATCGAACGGCTTTGTAGTGAATACTGTCGAACGATTTGCAAACCAAAATCTCATTTGGTTGGCTTCGACTGTTATGCCAAACGCAAACCTTCGGCAGGGATCACTTCGCAGGATGTGATGGAGACTGCACACAATCTTCCGTACATTCTTCAGGAAATGGGTGAGTATCCCTGTTGCAAAGATATGACAGTCAGAACTTACATCACTATGTCATCATCGCCAGCCTTCTTCTTGAATTCAATTGCGACAGCTATGTCGTCCCAAGAAATTGTAGGGTTTTGATTTGATCCTTTGGGAACCGGGGGTTTATTACTGTCATAGAGGACAAAACAACCATCAGGACGAGTTAAGTTTGATCGCACAGATTCTGGTATCGAATTTAGGTTATCCATGTACGTAGTTCGCTTTCTAGTCTTGCAAAGACCACTACATTCGCATATATGTGTTATAACCTCTGTAAGGGGTATGAAAGATATTTCCTCGTTATCTTGCGATTTGGCTGGATTTGACTTGAAGGCGGCCCATCGTCCATCTTTGATATGCCCCTTGTCGAGGAGCTCCTGCTTCACATTAGCAACGTTGATGCTTTTCAATTGAGAGGCTGCATTGTCCAGAAATAATTTGACTGGGAGTTCTGGGATTGAAGTGCCCAGACCGCTCATGGCAACATCACGCCGCTGTTCTAGGTTACCCATGTACCACTCGATGTCTGTTTTGGAATGGAGGGAGTATCTGTATCGAGTGAAGCGCTTGAATCCTAAGACTCGTTTTCCATGATGCGCTGACGTGGTGTTGAAGGAATATAAAAACCACGTGTTGAAGAGCAGCTCTGAGTCTCATATCGGACGCCAGTCACAATCATACGCCATTTTTGTCCAAGATCCTTTGTGAGACTTGGTGATAAAAGTTACAAGAGCTAGTTGTGGCACTCGGGGTCAAAAAAGCCTAACGAGTCAGAGTCCTACACTCATCAGGGGTTAATATTGACAGTATCATAGACTGTTTTCACGCATGGTTCAGGTACTCTGGTATGCTCATTTTCAAAATGTGATCGATATTCAACGCAGCGCTCAGCCATGACTAACTTCTCAAATTCATTTGTAGTGAAACGATACAATGCAATCCCCCCTAGGTTTCTTTCTGACACGCGAACTTGACCTACTGACTCACCCACGAGGTCTGAGAAGCATCAACATACTTCTTATCAGTCAACCAGAAGATACTTGACGTGCAGACGACTCCACGTAGCTGATTATCGATGAAAATCTGTACTCGTGGTCGCCTTTTGCTACGTACAAAACGATGGTCTAGTCAACGTCTATCTTTCTCAATGGATCGCCAATCACAGACATCCAAACGTGTTTTGTGTCCCCTCTATCTTGGCAGACTGCTTTCCGCTTTTATCTTGCCAATATTCATACTGCGGTGCTTCGATTCACAACAGGGGAGTAAGCTAAATGAAATACTTATCTTACTCCGCACTGTCTGAACCAGTTCCTTGTCAGATCACTTGGTATTGTTGTAAAGACGACGAATGTCCGAAACGACGCGCGATGTCAGCTGCTATCACTGTCTGACCGGGTTTCATAATTGTATCCACGAATGTATGTTTTGCAAATTGCGAATGCCACCCAAAATGCCAGCTGATGTGGCATCCTTGAGACTCTGGGATCACAGCTATGCTGCCTTGGGCTCCTTTTTATGACGCTATCTGATAGATATGTTGGTACTGTGCGAATAAAGGGCAAGGATTGAAGAGTGGTCGTACGTTTTGTGAGATACGAGGGCCATAAAGGCATGAAGGCTGTATTTGCGCCTGCTTGTGTGAGATTGGAAAGCGTGCCTTGAGAAAAATTTGATCGCATTGGAGATCCAAAAGGAGGTTGCACAAATCTGCAATTCAAGTCGCATCAGAATTCGCTAGCCTTTCTTTCGCCTCTCCCATCCATCCTTGTCTCTCCTTTACTCTCTCCCACTCAAAAAATATATATAATCAGGAATAACACCATGTCTGTAGCCGTAGACACCATCCCTGTCCGTCGCCGCCGCCATTCGGGATCCAATGCTGGTCCTGCACTTCGCATTAATGTTTTGCGAAAGGCTGAGCACGAGAACGACGCAGCAACCATCACCCCTCCACCAAGACCAAAATCAACCCCAGTGGATGAACTTCCACAGAGACGTAGATCAAACTCTGCCTCGGACTCTGAATTTTCCGATAAAGAGACCATGCAAATCGATGCTAGCCACTCAGATCAGCGTAGTTCCTCTTCGTCCCCTCAAAACACAGCCCAGAACGACGATTCCGATAAACCGATCCCAGACAGGCCAACTCGTCCTCTACCGGCTTCAAAAGCTCGCCGAATGGCGGGCAACGCTAATAATAACCCCATGCCTCAGCCTGCAAACCCTTCCATGCTTCCTGTACAAGCACATGTCCCTCGCGGAGGTATCGCTTCCACCCAGCGCCGCCTTTTCGTAATTCTTGAACAGGCTTGTCTGGAGGCTTACAGAGTCAGCAGTGGTGGAAAAGCGAAGAATGGTCGGGAGGGAGACGTCAAGTATACTCTTCTGAACTGTGACGATCACCAGGGCATCCTGGCAAAGACAGGAAGAGACATTGCAGATGCACGTCCAGATATCACGCATCAAGTAAGTGCTTTTCAGATGCACACCCGATATCGGATCTGACAGTCTTCCTTCTTGATAGTGTCTCTTGACGCTTCTCGACTCCCCTCTGAACAAAGCTGGACTTCTCCAAGTCTACATTCACACTGCCAAAGGTGTGCTCATAGAAGTCAACCCTCATGTAAGGATACCACGGACATTCAAACGATTCAGCGGTTTAATGGGTATGTGCATCGTATCTTGACTCATCGATGTTGTGTTACCCTGGAGAAACTATTGGATCACTTTACTCTACCATCTAATGAACACTACTCATCGCTATCCTTACAGTTCAACTCCTTCACAAGCTATCTATTAGAGGCGTAAATGGCCCAGAAAAGTTACTTAAAGTCATCAAAGTTTGTCATTCGCACTTCTCGTCTTGCTTGGTATTCAAATATCCCGCACTAGAATCCCGTGACAGACCATCTACCTGTCAATACCATGAAGTTGAGTACGTAGCATGTCGCTCGCTTGCCATATATATTCTCATGCTATTATTATGTCCTTTTCCAGCATTATCTGGTGATGCCCCTACGATCCGGCTATCGCGCTATCTACCCACTCTGCCAGAGACGCACTCTGTCGCAGTTTTTGTGGGCGCAATGGCTCGTGGACGGGATGACTTTGCCGATCATGTTGTAGATGAAAAAATAAGTATAAGCGACTACCCACTCAGTGCTTCGGTCGCATGTGGAAAGGTGCAGTCTCTTATTAATAACAACTCACAATCCTTAAATTGACGATATTTTTAGTTTTGTTGCGCACTGGAAGAACTCTGGGACATTGTTTGAACTCTTCCTTCGATTGTCTGCACATGCATTCCCGTCGTGACGACGATCTACATGAAATGTAACATATGATGATCTCTTGTTTTTTTTCCGGCGATCTGCGTTGTATTCCATCTGTTTCCGATTCTTCTGCAATACCCCCCGACCCCCTCTCCACCACCCACTGCATTTCAACCTGCGTTGCTTCAGATATCTCTTGAGCCGCATCCTGTTTGTACCACTAGTAGATGAATGCCCCAGAGCTTCTCGCATCGGATCACGACTCAACTCGTGGTTCGGGGTTCTGGATGTAATGATGCGATTCTCTGAATGAAAAAACACTGTGTTGCATCGCATGATACGAGTGTCATTTCGTTACTAAAGGCTGCTAGAATTAGTTGACAGCAAATGGTACGGATTGGTATCAAATTGCTGGCGCGGGTCTTGGCCAGATTTGGGGCCAATTACCGCATTTGTGGAGTGAAAGCAAGACTAATAGGAAATGAGCGCGCGTGATCTATATACTTTCCAGCCACCGCAACCTCTGCTAGGAACTACCCTTGACCATGTCGTCCACCGTGCCCGCCAGCGCAAGCCCTCTTCCAGAAGGGATTACAGATCCAAACTACAGACCTCTTCCAGGACGTCTTGGGAATCTCACAGTGCCCATGCAACATGGCCTAGACACGCTCAAAAAGCAGCTCAACGAAGAGGGCCTCTTTGTACCCGAGAGGATGGATGATGCCACTCTGCTGAGGTATGTTTTTCGTTCCGTTTCCATATCGTGCTCTATCAGGATGTTGCATTTCGGATAGGAGCGGTAGATCAGCATCACTCATAGCCGCAGTACATTGATGAAATCATTTCTAGATTCTTGAGAGCGCGCAAATTTGATGTACCCAAAGCCAAGGCGATGTTGCTCGCTCAGGAGCAATGGAGGAAAGACTTTGGTGTAGATGATATCGTCAAGTGAGCGATCGGTTTGCCTCACCTACGCGATTCAATCTGATCGTCCAAGCAGGAACTTTACATTTGACGAGAAGGAAGAGCTTGATAAAATCTACCCTCAATTCTATCACAAGATGGATAAGGCGAGTATGACAACATTATTATCAGTGCTATAAAGTGCTAATGAGGGCCCACGCCCGTGCTTCTAGGATGGCCGGCCGATCTACATCGAGCGTCTGGGCTACCTTGATATCAAGAGGCTGCACGAAATCACATCCAAAGAGCGTCAGCTTCAACGGCTAGTCTTTGAATACGAAAAGTTCGTCGATGAGCGTCTACCCGCATGTTCCAAAGCTGTCGGACACCCCGTCGAGACATCCTGCACTATCCTTGATCTACACAATGTCTCCCTCACCAACTTTTACCGTGTTAAGGACTACGTCTCTGAAGCAGCGTCGATCGGTCAGGATCGCTACCCAGAGCGCATGGGGAAGTTTTATATCATTAACGCCCCGTGGGCGTTTTCGGGCGTGTGGCAGCTCATCAAGCCATGGCTAGATGAAGTCACAGTGTCCAAGATCGACATTTTGGGGAGCGGATACAAGGATAAACTCCTTGCCCAAATTCCTCCAGAAAACTTGCCGAAGGATTTGGGAGGAAAGTGCCAGTGCCCGGGAGGTTGCTCATTGAGTGATATAGGCCCTTGGAACCCACAGACGGAAGGTGCTGGAGCGAATGGGAGTGCAAGCAACACTTGAAACGTGAGGCTACCTAGAATTACGAGAAGCTGTATACATCATACGTGGACATACTCTGGCGGTAATCTACTTGTACAGTACTTAATGGATTGTCGTTCGAGCTACGGATGGTATATGCTGACGGGCCGTGTATCGAAAGATAAACTGAATCAAAATCTCTGCATGTTGTATAGATATAGATTTTTCAGTATACAGCAAATTTGACTTGGCATTGTTCAATTTTCCCCATCAGTTCGACGGAAAGTATGAAGCTTATGAAGTCGTTAGGTAGTGGAAATCATGATAAATTGTGCTGTCGCACGTATGTGATTGAGTATAACAACCAACTACAGGAAAACAGAACGAAAAACAAAACAGCGCACTGATCTATGGGACTGCGCAGAATTACACAAGTTTACATTTGAGCTACAGTAAAGATAAATAGTATGTGGTTGCATATAGTTAAATATGAGGCTTTCTCGGTGACCACGCGCAAAAGTTATATTACAGTCTCATTTTGATTCGCCTCATCCATCCTCACCCATACACCATCCTTTCATATGAGAGATGAGCAAACAAATCGCAGCCCACCATAGGTAATTATCACGTACCGCAGCATACATGGTCAAGTGTCCCTTGATGACTATCTTCTCCACAGCTTGTCTTCCTGGACCTTTCGCCCACTCAGCCGGAGGTGGTTTTTGAACATCGGTCGCAAGCGATACGGACGAAAATGCTTGGAGAAGGCGAACAAGGAAGTAAGATGCTTCATTGTATGCGAACTAAGAAGCATCATTAATTTCCCATTTAAGTTTTCAATAGACGAAAATTTACCTGTTGGCCTAAACAGATCCTGGGACCGGCGTTGAAGGGAACAAAAATAAAGGGGTTTGGAGTGAGGAACTTGTGAAGACGCTGATCAATAAATCTATCTGGGTCAAATTCTAAAGCTGGAAACCGAAATATAAGTATCACGAGATCACACAAGCCATACAGTACACACCATCTGGACCCCATAAATCCTTCCTCCGATGCATTAAAAACACGGAATAGGGAACTCTAAATGCGACATTTGTAAGGTTTCGTAGTGGGTACAATCGGCTTGCACTAACCTGGTGTTCGCAGGGATGTACAACGGTTTGCCGCCATTCACTGAAGGCCAAACAGTAGCTTCAGTGCTTGTCCTAAAGGCGTCCACTTATCAGGGTTGTTTTCAGCATACACGACAAAGTTCATACCTAACATTGAATGGCCTAAAACGAAATGATCAGATATCGATAAAACTTACTAAATTTTTTTGACTTACACTGGAGGATATAGTCGAAGTGTTTCTAATGTAACAAAATCAACATCATCTAAATGATCGAAAAACCACGCAAGACATACCATTCAGAACCGCTCTCATATACTTCATCTCGCGCATATCATCGTATGTCGGCCTTCTCGAGCCCCCAACTTTAGTGAGGACTTCCTCGCGAAGACGGGTAAGAACAACAGGGTGCTGGGAAAGCATGTAAATGACAAATGTCAACAAGCCAGCGGTCTTAAATTTGAGGTTAATATTGTTGATAAATTTATCCTACAGGAGAGAAAATAGCGGCTTACTGTGTCACGACCCGCAATCATGATGTTTAGTGTTTCATCCCGGATCACCGTAGGATCTGAATATAACAAGGTCAACGGCGCATATAGGCATATAGGAACTTCTGCGAACCTTCCGTATAATTTACGAGGTGGTCTAGAAGTGTTTCACCTTCCTTGGCATCGTCGTTTACGCCGCTCTCCTTCAAATCCCTTTTTTTCTGCAGTGCATCCTTGAGAATAGGATCGATGAACTGATAACAGATGTCCATGCGTTTCTTAACGGTGTCACTCCAGAACTCGAAGAAGCGCCAGTTGGAACCGTAGCGTCCTCGAGAAGAAGCAGCTACCTGAGCCTCTGCAAACGCTTGCGCGAATATGTTGGCAGGGTGGTTCTCAGTAAACGCTGATTTCGCTAATGGAGACGATGGAGGATATGGTAATCCTGCTCCTAGAGAGCACACATCCTTCCCGAACAGGAATTCAGTAGCCGAGTCAAGAGTGAATCGCGATACCATGTCCTGCAATGCACTATAAACTGCCGTAGGAGGAGGATGCAATCGATCACCGACGTACCTGGAAGTCGACGGGATAGCCCTCTCTCAACCTTTGCTTGAACTGACTGATAGCATCCTCTGCATGTTTTTCGAAGATATCAAAGTGGCTAATACGGTCCCTGCTGAAAAATGGGCGCGTCATGGTCCGGTGAAATCTATCGCAATAAAACGATGAGCCTTGGAGAAAAAACAGGCTGATGGGAAAATGCCCTACTTCCATGTGTCACCTGAAAGCTGAATGAGACATATGAAGATAGGCAAGGACTAAATACATACCGTCTGAATTGAATACACCGGTTCCAAGAAGCGAATTGACCTGATCCCAGAACATGGGACCTATTGTAAGAAAAGGGGTTTTAAGTCTCCTATAACAACTCGATCTGACGACTGTTGAGCTAACCTTTACCGTACGAATTAAATTTTGTTGCGAGGATAGCCTGACGTCATCCAGTCAATTGAAACTCACTAATATGCACGTTGCAAGAATTACCTTGATATATTCTGGTTCAAAGGTAAATATCTATGAATGTGGGCCATTAGCTCTTCACATAGGGGGTGCATATCTATAATGACGGTTACCCTATTCTCAAGAAGAACCTTGGCATTGAACGTGTTCCCATTGATCTCAGCCTCTTGCTCTAGCACTTCACCTGTAAATAGAATATGATGAGAGAAGCTATGCGCATGATGTTGAGAAAAACTGACCCATATAGCCCGTTTTCGAATTTGCGACCATCCGCAATAAAATGTCAAGGCCTGCAGGCCATTTGCTTGTAGCTCTGGGAGGGAGAACTGCACCACGAGCAGCGGCCTCTCTGCTATCGACGTAATCAGTGTATATGACACTGACCATCGGTGTTAGGGGAATTGATAGGATGTAGGCGAGGAATTGAAGCCAGTAAGGAACAGAGACGTCGAGGACTGCATCGCAGACACGTAGTAGAATGTAGATGGATACGGGGGGAAGCAAGAGACGAGGCAGACGGCGGAAGATCAGTATGATCCCAGGTGGAAGTTGGATGGCCATGGTGAACAGTGAGAAGTGAGCAGATTTGCAGTTGTACCTCTTTGCTGGTGAAGATCCAGTTCTATATATGATTTCTGTGATTCACATGCCCGAGGAATAGGCGGGAGTAATGCAAAGTTGAAAGCAATTGCCGGATGCTGTTGTGTAAGCTCCTGTGAGTGGGAAAGATGGCTGTGAGGATTGAGGATAGTAGAGTGCGGCACAAGACATACCGGCCAGAACTTGTGATTTTTCGATGCCGCAAAGTACGAATAGGTGCGGATCGACTGCGGCCCCAACGGCAGCCGTCGGTATGTCTGACGCACTCTCCATGTCTCATAAACTGATTTACCGCAGAGGCATAACCCCGGTGATTAGCGGCATATTGCACTTGGCTAAAGAACAAGAGTCCTGAAAAAAAAGAAAGCAGCAGTCCTCGTTAGTTCCTTGTCATCGTCTGCCAAGAGTACCAAAAAGTAAACGTCCTGTCACTCTCTGCGGGAATAAGGAAGAAAACATCATAACGACATGCCTGGTGGCAAATCAACAAACATGCCGGCAACCCAGCACAACCCGGCGTGGCACTTCCGCTGTCGGTGGCCCCCTGAAATAAAATTAACAGCACCTACTATTTTGATTTATCATCGACATTAACCGTCGGTTAGAGCACTCTCAGTTACACTGCTGCACATCAATGGTTTCAAGAGTCGAGCGCTCGTTTCTACGCACTGGCACATTCTTTATATACGACCGTCATATCAAATTGGTCTCACTGGGGAGACTTACACATCCTTGTGTAATAGTAATATTGTGTAGCAGATGTAGTACAGCACAGGTAACTCCCCGACGGGATCCAGCCCTATTCATGTACCGCTTCCTCCAGCCTGACCCAAACACCGCCCTATAAGAATACTGAGCTAACGTCCAAGAGAAAGATGAGGAAATAAATGTACTCACGTGCACATACATGGTGAGGTGATACTTTGGATAGATCTTTTCTATCGATTTCCGGTCAGAAGCCCCTGCCCAGTGGGAAGGTGGAGCAAACTGCTCATCAGTGGCGAGTGTTATGGACGAAAACTTTTGTAGGAAGCGGATTAGGAAGAACGATATCTGATTATAGGCAAACTGTCGTGAAAATGTCAGTTAGTATACGAAGAGTATGATTATCATTTCGAAAAATAGAAAAAGATGCATCTCGCTTCCTCAGAAAAAATGCAAACTCAGTATCCTACTGTCGTGAACGAACCTGTTGACCAAGACAAATCCTGGGTCCTGCATTGAAGGGAATGAAGATAAACGGGTTAGCCGTCAAATATTTGTGCAGCCGTTCATCGATAAATCTGTCGGGGTCAAAGTCTTGCGCTAAGAACTCAAATGAGCTTATGACCCCAATACTTGGGATGGGCAGCTTACCATCTGGACCCCAAAGATCTTTCCGACGATGCATCAATAGTACAGAATAGTTGATCCTGTATGACCAGAGAGAACTTAAGATGTGTCCTTGTGATATGAAAATTTTGTTACTTGCCTTGTGCCGGCCGGCACAAAGAAAGGAGTACCGCCGTTATTAGAAGGCAAAGTAGTATCTCGAGTTGAAACCCTGGAATGGAAGGACAGAACCATATCATGAGCCACCGCTCCTTTCTTGCAGATTCTACCTACCTTATGTTAGAGGGACTGGAGGTTTAGTGCTGTCAGATCAAGGTACTAGCTAAACACCTAAAGTTTGAACTTACACGGCAGGATGTAGTCGAAGCGTTTCTGATGTTTTCTGTCAGACAGCAACCAATGCAGAGTGATAAAATATATACCGTTGATAACAGCTCTGAGATATTTCATATCCCGAATGTCGTCATAAGTAGGCCTATCAGTAAGCCCGACCTTGTTTATGATCTCTTCACGTAAGCGGTCAAGGATCCTGGGGTTTTGAGATAGCTGATATATCATAAAGGATAGCGTGGACGCAGTCTATCGCATATCAGGTAAGTGCATGACTTCCACAGGTACGGAAGGGACAACTTACGGTGTCACCGCCGGCAATCATGATGTTGAGCGTTTCGTCTTTCAGCATTTTAAGGTCTACGAATATCCATAAGCTTGATGACGGTGACAAAAGACGTGCCGGTCATACCCTCTGTATAGTTGACGAGGTGGTCCAACAGGGTCTCACCATCCTTCACTTCCCTGTCAAAATTCCCTTTTAGGTCATTTCCACTGCTACTTTGCATGGCTTTCTTCTTTTCCAAAGCCTCGGCAATGATAGGATTGACAAATTCGTCGATTACATCCATGTAGGTATGAACCTTATCTTTCCAAAACTCGGCCAATGGCCATTTGCCACCATACCGTGAGCGCAGCGCGGAGGCCATCTGTGCATCTCCAAAAGCCTCGGCAAAGTCGTTCGCAGGATGAGACTTGACAATGTCCAGGGGTGAATTCGGAGGGTAAGGAAGTCCGGCAGATAGAGACTTGACATCTTTGCCGAAAAGAAACTCGGTTGCCGAATCCAGGGTGAAGCGGCGAATAGCGTCCTTTGGAGAACAAAAAATGAGGTAATATAGGCCAAATGGGATCATACAAGCTCACCTGGAAGTCAATGGGATAACCTTCCAGAAGGCGGATTCTTATTTGTTCAATGACATCTTCAGCGTGGCGATTGAATATATCGAAATGGCTTATGCGATCTCTGGTAAAGAACGGCCGAGTCATACTTCGATGAAATCTGCAACATCTACGGCATCAGACACCTGACAGTAGCAATAGACATACTACAAAAGGAAAAGGTCGTACTTCCAAACATCACCTGCGCGGTTTGAGTGAGGAGCTATAGGCTAGGAGATTTGGTGATAGTATCTACCATCTGAGCTGAATACCCCTTCCCCCAATAAGGAACTTAGCTGATATCTCATAGGCCCTACAAGAACAAAGGTTATATTCTCCGCGGACCGCTCGCGATTGCAAGGATCCTACCTTTTGCAAAATCGTTGAATTGTGAAGCAAGTATAGCCTTTTCTAGAATAAGCATTCACACAGCGAAGGAATGGTTTGCCCCGTACCTTCACATGTTCGGGCTCCGAAGTGAAGATCTGAACCACAAGATTTAGGTACGATGGCATACAAACACTCTTTCAATTACCTTGTTTTCGAAAAAAGTTCGGATGGTAAATGTATGACCATATTTCTCGGACCATTCATTCATTAAGTCAACTTTAGGACGGATCAGAATGGAAAACAAAATTAGATCCTTGTACATACCAGGATGATTATTCTTGAAGTCATGGACCATCGCAGCCACCAGATCGACCCCTGCAAATTTATCAGACTGGACATACGGTGGCATGACTGCACCGCGCGCAGCGGCACCCCTCCGGTTCACGTATGCGGTATACTGAACGCTCAGTACAAATGCCACTGGCAAAGATAGAAGAACTGCGCATGTGTATTGGAACGCTGATACGCGAACATCCAGAAGTGTCTCGATGATGGAGATGAGAGCGAATGTAGAGGCTGGAGGAAGCAATAAACCAGGCAAACACTGAGCGACGTATGTTACACCAGGTGGTAAGCCTCGGGCCATTGCGAAGTGTTCTGTTGGTTCAGATAAGAACCAGTGTAGTTTATATGTTATAACGTTCACGCAAGCGCGGTATTTGAGGTATGCCGAGACCGGTAAGTCCTTAAATGCATTCAGTGAGTAGCATGTGAAACCAGAGATGAAGCATCCAGGATGCCGCTCACCCTGAATCCGATATCTCTGTAATTGCTGTTGATGGGTATGAAATAAACGGCACGATAGCATGAGCCAGTTGCCAGTGAGCGAGTAACGCAACTGATGGGAGGCGATGTGATTGCAACAGTGGCTTGTTCGCGTACCACAAACTTATGCAAGTGCTGAAGTGGATGTAGTACTTGTACTTTCTGTATTACCAGTGTTCTCTGCCTTCAGCTTTAATCGCGGTCTGTGGAAACATGTAGCCTACGTTATGGAATACACATCCTGAGCTCCACTGGCTGCCAAGCTAACCTTCTAGACCCAGAAACACTTCAATCCCCTGCCGGCATCCCTACGATAGGCGCAGCTGTGTGATAAAATCAACCAAGTCCATGTTTGCTGTGAGTGCGTACTCAAGCATAGCCACATCGGTAATACATGCATCATATTGAGCATCAGGCAGTATATAGGTATTTATTCGAATTCACTTCCTTCTTCTTCTTCTTGAATATGCCTAGAATCTCTCTTACAACGACAAAAAAATCAGTACTGGAATATATGTATGGAACGCAAAACGGCACGAAACAGAAACATGGCCCACTAAAGAGCAAAAGGCGGACGTAACGTAGGAGAGAACGTGACCACACGAACAGCTGCGAAAGAAAATCAAAAACAATGTCATTCTACTACATCGGCAACATGTTTTCGTCTGACTACAGTTTTTCCATCGCTTAGAAGCACTCTGCAAGGAGAGAAAATTTGCCCAGGTGAGATGATTACACAAAACTAAAGATTTAAATCGGCACGTACTGCGGTGAACAATACCAGGACCAGACTCGTCGTACTCTTGCTTAGAGCACCACAAGTTCTGGAAAGTGCTAAGAGAAGCCAAGATAGATCCACCAATCCAGACGGAGTATTTTCGTTCAGGGGGAGCGACAATCTTGACCTGTGATGAACGAAGTGTTTAAATAAAGACATGGGGCCAAAATAGAATATCGAACACAAACCTTCATGCTGGATGGCGACAGCGAGGTCAACTCTCGTTGCATACGGTCAGCAATACCAGGGAACATAGTAGTACCACCGGACAAAACCACGTTTCCGTACAAGTCACGACGAATATCGAGATCACACTTGAAGATCGAGTTGTAGCTGAGGGTCACTTTTAATTAGCAATGTCTATGTAAAGTAGAGTGCCTTAAACTTACGTGGTCTCGTGGATACCGGCGGCTTCGAGACCGAGGAATGCAGGTTGGAAGAGCGCTTCAGGGGCACGGAAACTATGTAAGATAAGAACAATGAGGTCATATCTTGTTATCTGAAACATTAAAACTTACCGCTCGTTACCAATAGTGATGACTTGACCATCAGGGAGCTCGTAGCTCTTCTCAAGTGCTGATGATTGAGCAGCGGTCTGAATTTCCTGCTCAAAGTCAAGAGCAACGTAGCACAGCTTCTCCTTGATGTCCCGGACGATTTCACGCTCAGCAGTAGTAGTGAAAGAGTAACCACGCTCAATCAAGTTCTTGATGAGGAAGTCAGTGAGGTCACGACCAGCGAGATCGAGACGAAGAATGGCGTGAGGGAGAGAGAAACCTTCGTAAATGGGAACGGTGTGGGTGACACCATCACCGGAATCCATGACAATACCGGTTGTACGACCAGAGGCATAAAGAGAGAGAACGGCCTGGATGGACACGTAGAATGCAGGCGCGTTGAAAGTCTCGAACATGATTTGGGTCATCTTCTCACGGTTAGCTTTAGGGTTGAGGGGTGCTTCCGTGAGTAAGACTGGGTGCTCTTCTGGAGCAACACGGAGCTCGTTGTAAAAGGTGTGATGCCAGATCTTTTCCATGTCGTCCCAGTTCGTTACAATACCGTGCTCAATGGGATATTTCAAAGTCAAGATACCACGCTTTGACTGAGCTTCATCACTATAGGCGGCATCAGCATACAGATCAGATTAGGGTAAGTGAGACAAGGCATACCCGACGTAAGAATCCTTCTGACCCATGCCAACCATCACACCCTGGTGACGTGGGCGACCAACGATGGAGCTGAGAGGATCATCGGTATCAGATACAAAAGTCTAGGAATACGTGGACCTTGTGCTCACGGGAAAACAGCACGGGGAGCGTCATCACCTGTGATCAGCAGTTAAAGACTATGATAGAATCGGATAATAAGCGATGACTATGTACCAGCAACTATGCAAGACAAGGTAAGTGAGCTGAGCGATGCGTTGTCAAGTTAGAGTACTCACAGCCAGCCTTGCACATTCCGGAACCATTGTCAATAACCTGTGGAGAGAAGAGCAGTAGGTAAAGGTGCCGTTGTTTGAGGGAATGGAACAGAACGTACGAGCGCAGCTACTTCGTCCTCCATTGTGAATTATTTGCGAAAGATGTAAAAGGTTGAGATGAAAGTGATTGAGAGCTGATGAATCGGAGTGTTTTATCGATTTAAAGTCAGAAAAGGCGATGCATGATTCCGCAGTGATTACGATGAGATAAAAGCGATGGTCAGCACTGCAAACTGCGAACTGCGCGCTGTTGGCAACGATGCCCAGCACAAAATGAGACTTACCTTTGGCTGAGGAACGGACAAGGATATGGGCGAGGGCAAAGGGCGGGTGAGGTTCAGCTATGCTGGTTATCGGATTGTATTTAGGGTAGGCTCCCACCCATTCTAATTTCGGTTCTGATCTCTGTATCCATAGTGCTAAACTGCTAATCCTTAGGTCTTGGTTATGGCCATCGCAGTCATCGCAGCAATTACTTGAAACTTTGCCCAGTTCGACTGCTCTGCTCAGCGCAAAGAAGCACACCTTGCAATCAGTCATCCAATTGCCTTACCAGTCGCGTCCATGCCGTTCAGGCGCCAACCAGACATGCATCGCACGGATTGCATACCCGTACCATGTCCAAGAAATATCGTATCTAATCTCACTTTTACAGTAGTGCTTACAGTAATAACACCCTGCAATAAGGTGTCGTGATTGTGTCTACTTTCGTCATAGCTCACACCGTAGCTCCTTTCGCTGGTACATCGGCCCCCTGCAGCTTTACGGCAATACAACCAGATTTTATGAATGTTCATTTTAAAAATCTATGGAGCGTCTCAACAGGTCTCTTGCAATGCACAACAGCACCAAAGCAAGTATATTAACGGAGGCTGACACGTCTATCCAGGCCGTCAGCACATGTCAGCCTCCGCCACAGAAACATACATCCTATATCAATCGACCTTTCCCCACCAGATGCCACAAGACTGTTCCTCTTCTCACCCACCATGCCGCCCGCAACAAACACGGAATCTCCAGACCCAACCACCGTGTCCAGCCCCGGAAAGCCTCCGCCGCAGCACGTCACTCTGCCCCCAGCATCCATCGTCATCCTTGTCATATGCCTCGTCCTCGTAGGAATCATGATGCTCTATGTCATCTACCGCCATTTCAGCGTCAAGTACAACCGAAAGGCCAGAAAGGCAATGAAGAGACATGAGCGCATACATGCACAGGATAATGCCCAGTGCGACCAGGCAGCACTTTTGGTCACGACCCCCGAGAAGAAAGTTCCAGCAGCCAGTACTCTGCATTCGACTTGCACTCTCGTAGCCACCGCCTCGTCAAAGATTTTTTGTCCGCCCGTCATGTTACAGTTCCGTATCCCGGGAACCAAGAAGACAATCACTCTTTACGGCGCCGGGTCTCCATCCCCAGTGCGGAACGGCGATAAGGGCACCCTTGCGGATCCCCGACCTGATGTTCGTAATTGATCGCATCATCTCCTCCTGCGCTGCTGACCTTTAACGTCGTCACAGGTCGAATCGACAAAGGAAAATAGTATCACCCCTTTCATGATACCCCAATCTCCCAAGTGGCCTCCTCCCATCATGGGACGGTCAGCACCGTACACTCCGCATAACTGCGCGAGCAAAGGCTCCCCGGATCCACTCAAGGATGGCATATTCGGGGCGAACATCCAAGATAGCAGCGATGGTAATGTACGTCCTTTGGTCAGCAACACCGACAACGTACGGAATATTCGGAAACCTCTGGCCTCCAAGGATATCACGACGGATATGATGTGGAGTTCGAAGGTTACCGCTGCTCAACAACCGGTCAATATACTTGGAATTATACGTTCAGTCTCTCAGCGCATGCCACCTCGAATGTCCGTGCCACACATCGATATGCCGAAACTCCCTCCCAAGGCGCTTGGACAGCAAAATGTCGACCCAACGTTACGTGGACCTCTTTCAAAGTGATGGTGTTTGTTGCATAATGGTTCTTACACATGTCAAGTCTCGGATACCACATTCCTTCATAAATATAACACTCGTTTTTATTGAACAGGGCGTTGGTATAAAGTACACTACGTGGAGAACAGCTCTCCCTCGATACATAAATCAGACATAAATAATAAGCAATAACCCTCGAACATAAAAAACAACTTAAGAAATAAGACACGTGCACATAAATGGTCATAACTGTTAAGCCGACCGTAAATCCCTGCTGAAGCCCATCTCGGATATAATGAAAGTATCTCAAGTATCGACGCTGGGAGTTCCCGCTGCAGTTTGAGGGAAATGGGTTCCGTGGAAACCGAACCCTACCACAGTCTCCATGCTCGCTCTGCCTACTTCCTCCATCGTCCTCGCGTCCAAAACTAACAGATAGCTCTTCGTCTTGTGACCATCCAAGACCACAGAAAGCAGCACGCCATCATCTTCATCTACCCCCACCGGGTTAGCGATAAACACGGGCTCGCCAGGATTTTGCCCCTGCACATGCCAATATGTGGGGTTCTTAGACTGCATGTCGTACTTGACTAGCCCATCAAAGAACGTACTGTTCCCCCTGTCTGATGCGCCATAGACATAACGCGACGGTTTCGCGATGAACCGCGGATTTATGGAGGGCAAGTCGCAGGAGTGGGCCTTGGGTGCGATGTGCTCGCTAACAGCGGCGCGAGATCCTTCAGAGGAACCGATCGACGGGAGACGCCAGCGACGCAGGTTAGGGCGTGTTATGTCACCCCTTTCGCCCATGTACTCGAGAGAGTCCGGGGAAGTCGATTTGATATTGCTGTAATAGAAGCGTTTAAGAACATCAAGGTTCTCATATGCGCAAAGAGTAGCAACAATATCGGTTTGGGAGGGGTTAGAAGGGGAAGGCTCTTCCCAAGCGTTGATGGTGTGGAAGCAGAAGAAGGGGTCGGTTTCGTATTTTGACACAACACCCTTTCCATGCCTGCGGTCAATGACATACCACAACGCTTTCTTCGACGGGTCAAAAGTACCAATAGCATCGAGCATGTTCTTATCCCAGAGGATCTTGGCGCCTCCCCAAGCGTAATGAGCCGACCAAATACAGAGAACGATGTAGTTCTCGGTGATCATCATCGAGTGCAGATAGGCACCACGGGCATCTGTGATTGTGGCGAGTATCTCTGTTTCGCCGGTATCTGCGGAGACACGAAACACCCTGTACGTGTGAGCCCTGCCGACATCGAGATTGTAGTTGAATATGTCACCGGTGACGGGATCGGACTTTGCGTGTGCAGCAGACATGTGGCCGACAAGCTCGTGATGGAGGGACTTCTGATCGGCAAAGCCAATGGGCTCTAGAGTCTCTGGGTCGATTTGCCGATAAACAGCAGCATCGGTTTTCGTCCAGAGAGTTTGGATGCCCGAAGCATGTCCGTCACTCTTTGACTTTTTGGCGGAACCAGTGATGTCCTTGAGACCAGGTGGATTGGCGGACAGAGTGACACCGATGTTGGCGTGTGCAATGGCTTTGGGACTGTTGTCAGGGACGAACATGCTCATCACTTTTCTGAAAAAACTGATACATGGGTCGCGTTTCTGACCAAAATTAAAGTCATCCAGTTTTCCAGTCTTGCGAATGGTCTCGATGAGGGAGTCCACAGCAAACCTCGAGTTATAAAGTACGCGTGGAGGACTGCCGGGAGAGGAAATGATTTGGAAACGATGGTTCTGGGTAAACCCATCAAACCAGTGGTCGACGGAGTAAGTGGTTCCAACGTCTGTTTTGACCTGATAACCACCTGGACCCGTTCTGTACAGGGTGCCAGAAACATACGATGGGATTGTTCCTGTCACTTGTAGTTCCACAGGAGAACGTTCTTCGTGGCCAGGCTCAAACTGGATATGTGGCTGAGATCAATACGAGAAAAAATGACAAGAGACGAGATACATACGCCTGCATCGTTTGGCCAATTGTTGTACGGTTCAAGGACCTTTGTAGTGGACATGCTGGAATTGCTGCGAATGTTTGGATTGTTTGATGGTATATGTAGTCATGATCCACACTGCCCCGCAAGTTACGCGGTTGATGGGAGTCTCGGCGCCAGATGACCCGCCGTACTCTAAGCAGGTGTCATGGCATGCAAGCGATGCACAAACCAGACTTGCATGATCCTGACATACGCCAACGAGGATAGACACCATGTCAATAAACATGTAAACTAACAATCCCTGTTCTAATCTATGATAGGCCATTTCGATCTGGACGAACCTACTCGCGAGACCTTCTTTGCTAATCGGTCCTCTTCCAAATGGCCTGCTGGAGGCTAACCTGGTCAGCCTCTCAACCCCTCAGATCATAAGAAATCATGGCCCATTATCAGCCTGTTCTTCTCGTCGACCACACCTGCAACATCTCCAGGCGAATTGACATCCAGGATGGCACCTACTACGGTTCAATCGTTCAACGTATTCCCAACTGGTACCCCTCGTGTCACCTCGACCACTGTGACGGCCTCTCAGAAGCGTATGGTGGCCATCTCTGTCATTACTTTTCTCGGATTTTCACTTCTCTGTGCCGTCTACGTGATCTATTGTCGGGTCTCTTATTGGCGCAAAGAAAAGGCTTTCCTCAAGGATCACGATGATATTTTCTTATCCGACGACGACACTCCCAGTAAGTCCTAATAATCGCACTATACTAACCCTCGACCGACGGTTGCTATGTTTTGTCTCTGTCACAACTTTAGGAACTCCCAACTGGAAGTTGAGTCACGGTCAAACATACAAGAACTTCGTGGCAGAAGTAAGTCCTACGGAGTTATCACTCCATCATATCGCGTCATTTCGTATTCTTCACAGACGCCGGGCTCCGAGAAGACACTGGTTTCGAAAACACCTCTTATCAAGAAACCAGCCCCCGCCATCCCTCGTGCCCGTTCCGGATCAACATCACCCACGATTCACGCGCAAAGGAGGGCTACCAATCCTTTTGAAGATCCTTATACCAACTTCCCCTCTCGCGTAGTCCGCACAGCTAAATTGGATAGGACACCGCCCTCCCTCACTCACGACCGCCTGGCTGCCATGATGGTCGACCCCAAGCTGGCCCCTGTGCAAGGACCGCTTATGCCGCTTCAGGTCCACACCAGCCCCGTCTCCCGATCATTGTTCGAATACAAGGGCCAGAACATCTCACGATCTGGTACGATTTAGCACACACCTCCGGGAATTTCGCTTCTGTTTATATCTCTTTCATCGCTCTCGTCACATACTCTTCACGTCTTCTGGTTACTATACTATCTAGCAATACTTCAATCATTGCTTGCCCTCTTTACGTTTTTTTTTTTCGTCTCCGTCTAGCCCAACGGTCTCGAGACCCCGTCTCTCCCAAGTACATTCAGGTCCTCATCAATCTTGAGGTTATTTGGCCACGAGTTGGGCATCGTTGTCTTTAACTTTACGAAGGAAAAATACACACGAACATGACTTAATGCCACCAATCACACTATCTTTAGATACTGCTGAACTCCTGATGCTAGCAGCCTTGCTGTAGTCATACACCAGCCTTGATCTTATTCCTTTTGTGTCGGATCATTGGTGTTACAACGGATAAGGAACAACTATACATATCCAGCTATGTAATGATACATTTTCCCCGTTACTACGATATCATCTACACAGGGCACTCTTATAATACCGGTTTAGCTCTATGCGGTCTTGGATACCCGTGAGGGGTACGAAGGAGGAGGGCCGTACTGTGATATTATACGAGCAAATATCTCCTGATCATCCAGCTCATGGACGCTACGGATGCTCTCACCGTCAGAAGAAAGCAGGAGACGCTTATCCTCCGTCGCTGAGCGAGTCCTACGCCTATCAACCATACTTTTGGACCGCTTCATTACACCATCCACGGCGTTGTGCATCTTTGGGACAGTTGATTGCCGTACAGCATTGATGAACCGCCCCTTCACAGCGTCCTTGGCGTCTACGGGAGAAGGGGATTTGGACCCGTCTGAACTTCCATCAGCATCAGCCTCGAGCGGCGAAGCTATGTAATCAGAGGGTAGGATATCATTGAACGTCTTTGGCGGTCCATTCGTAAACTTGGCATACAGCCTAGGATCTCGTCGCTCTATATGGATGGGATGGTGAGCCATCACAAGAGCTGAAGATCGTGAGTAGTTGACTCGTTACCTGTGATGGTCACTCGACGACGATGGCTGCTTGGAGAAGATACCGGAGTGAGCTCTCCGTATTCTGCGTGTGGGGCACTTTCGTAGAGTTGTCCTGAACGATCGCGGAAGGTATATCGGCCAGAGTCAGCATCGTAAGCTATGCGGGTGACGCCTTCAGGGAGGCGACAAGAATCCTGAGCAAATGTCGATTAGTAACGTCAAACTTGGCCTGTGTATGGTGGACATACCTCGGTATACTGAGTCCAGCGGTTAGACATTGTGGTTGTCAATGAAAAGGGGGGAATGCGACGGTTTTGGACGGTCGACCGTATCTTTATACTTCATATGTACACCTCGTGGAACCGTTTCTGCATCCTAATCAAATCCACGACACCAAAACAGCTCTCGATTACGTGACTTGATAGAGAAAAAATAACCAAGGCTCTGGATAAAAATGCGGTTGCGGCTTCTGTGAAGATAAAAGCTATGTATCTGCCAGTGGCATTCACCGAAAAAGTGGTTGATCAGGTAACCAAGACCCATTCTTAGTGTCCACCTTCTGGGAAAACGTAGTATGAATCTCTGATAGACATGTGTGTTGATTCTGGGTGGACATGAGCGAGATCCTTGCAAACTTAGTAGGTCTTTTAGTCGAATTTAAACGCCGAGGCTCCAATTTATAATTAAAAGCTAGCGCCACATACAATGTGCACTCACAAGCAAGATATCAGGCATTATGCTTCAAAACCAAACTCGCTCACGTAGGCTCCGGTCTGTACGCAGTCTTTCACGTTAGATCACTGTCAATGTAAACACCATGACCACTAAGTTACACCTGTCTAAGGATACAACTCTCAGTCAATACGATATCACCTACGCAAGACACCGGCGCAAGGAGGCGGAGAACCGTATCGTAACACTATGTCAACAATAAGTTTTTCAGCATCAGATTTATGAATGCTCTCATCCAAAGAAAGCAGGAAGGACTTTTCATCCGTCACCCTTCCAGTCATGATCCTGCGTCTATTAGCCACGCTTTTAAGCCACTTCATTACACCTTCCATAGCATTCTGCATAGCTGGGACAGTTGATTTTGCTAAAGCATCTGTAAACCGCCCTTTCGTGGGGTTCTTGGCACTTGCAGAAAAGTGGGATCCTGTGCCTTTCGGACTTCTATCGACATAGAGCGGCGAGGCGGCGAAAGCAGAGGGTAGTATATCATTAAACGTCTCTGGTTGTCCAGTCGTAAACTTAAACTTCGCATGCAGGTTAGAATTCCGCTGCTCTATACGAGAAGTATTTCTGAGCCATCGCACGTTCACTTTTGTGAGACTTTGACCTGTTACCTGTCGTTACTCTGCGATACGGGAAAATTCGGGAGGATACGGGGGCGAGCCCTCTGTGTTCTGCGTGGGGTGCACTTTCATGGAGGTGTCCTAAACGATCACGGAACGTATATCGGCCAGTATCAGCATCATAAGCTATGCTGGTAATTTCTTCAACGAGACAACAAGAATCCTGAGCAAAATATCGTCAATAGTTGCCAACCACTCCTGACTGTATGACTGACATACCGCGTTATGCTGAGTCCAACCGTGGGTCATAGTGGTCGCGAGTTGAACAGGTGATAAGTCTGATCGCCTTGGACCACGACTTTATAGGTGATGGGATTATAGTTTTGATTATACGCCCCGTGGAACCTTGTCTGGATCTGAATGTGAAGACTTCTTTCGGGTGCTACGTGAATGTAACCAGAGGGGGGGAAGTCACGAATACAGTAAATCAAAACCGCGGGTGTAGAGCAGCCCCGTTGAGGGAAAATTCTGCACCAGTGTGGGATATTCACAGCTGCATGCCCAGTACTAATCAGGTGGCCACAGGTTGTGGATACTATGGATATAGATTGATCCTGGTTCGACAATGGCCATCTTTTGATTCTTTGGGACGAGATCTTGAATCCAGTGTCCAAATTTCTTCAAATAAGGGGATATTTATCGACGACATCAAGGCTCCCAAAGTCGCACCCGTGGCCCAGTACTGATCCAGTGCATGAACTTGGGAATATGATCTTAAGAGACGCGCTGAAAAGTTGAATCGTTGAGGACTTTCAAGTTTGCATAAGTCATGGTAGAAAGCAAGTAAGCAAAAGAGAATGTGCCCGCCACCTGGACCAAACAAAGACATTCCCGCCAGACGCGTCAGCTTGTAAGACCCAATACCCGAAGTCTTACCAGAATCTTACCCATTCCACGTCTGTCTGTCCATCGAACTCGCTGCCCAACATGCCTTTAGAAGCTACGATGATGATTATGGACAACTCAGAGTACATGCGGAACGGAGATTACCAGCCGACACGCTTTGAATGCCAGTCGGATGCTGTCAATACCGTCTTTCAGACCAAGATTGACTCGAATCCAGAGAACACAGTTGGAATAATGACCATGGCTGGTAAAGGGTGCGTATTCAGTTTTCTATTGGACTGGTGTATTCATTGATCTAGTTTGAAATGAGTAGCCCTGAAGTGCTTGTAACGCACACGAAAGAACTTGGTCATATCCTTAAATCGGTCCACTCAACGTCAAGTAAGATTGGAGGATCGATAGATATTCCGACTGCCATTGCCATCGCCCAGTTAGCATTGAAGCACAGAGAGAACAAGAACCTACGGCAGCGAATAATTGTATTCGTTGGCTCACCACTGGAGGGACAAGGAGCAGACGAGAAAAATATGGTCAAGCTTGCCAAGAAGCTGAAAAAGAACAATGTAGCTGTAGATATTGTTGCATTTGGGGATGGCATTGAAGAGGGCGAGAGTAGTGTATTGAGGGCGTTTGTTGAGAATGCTTCCAGTGGTGATAACTCGTACGTATCGGTGGCTTCTGTCTACCTAGTAATTGAACTTACATTCATTCTACCTTTAGACATCTGGTATCTGTACCACCAGGCTCCCACCTTTTGTCAGATGTACTACTATCGTCATCCATTCTCGCTGGAGACCGCGGTATTCCGGAAGAGGCGATGGGAGATGCCAATGTTGGTGCATCGGGATCTGGTGGAGGTGGCTTTGAATTTGGCGTTGACCCAAGTCTCGACCCAGAACTAGCTATGGTACGGCTATGTAACACAGCTCGCTTATCTGATCCCGCTAAGTTCGTTGATTACAGGCTCTGCGTATGTCTATGGAAGAAGAGCAGGCTCGTCAAGCTGCAGAAGAGCAAGCCCAAGAAACCACCGCCCCACCAACATCGCTACCACCGGTGAGTGAGAGTATACCTGCTGAGGCGGAAGGCGAAGAGGATGCCATGCTGCAACAGGCTCTGGCGATGTCGAAGGAGCAGGATGTAGAGATGGATGAAGATCATGGCGAAGACGGAGGTGAAGATGAGGACATGGACGAAGAGGAGGCCATTGCGAGAGCCATTGAAATGAGTATGAAGCAGCATCAAGAGGACCAGAAGAAATGAAGCGTTGGGGAGTCTGATATCTGTAGCACTTTGCTTTTCTTCGCTCTGCATTATATGTCATTGTAGGGAATACATTACATGAAACTGAATTTATACAGGTCTGTATACAGTCCTATACATACCTGACCATATACTTGACTGGGAAATGCAGGCAGACCGATCTGAGCTTGAAATACTCACGCACCTGTTCCGATCCATTCTGTAGTAAAACTATAGAGCTTTTACCTATGCCATCAGCACAGACAGCATCCCAGGAGGAATTAAAGGCAGCCAGTGTGCCCATTGCATGGAGAGATCAGTGCTCAGCGTACGTTATCCGTATTGTAACACTCAATGGTTGATATAACACGTCTGACAATTTATCTCCAACGTTGCATTTCAATGGGGCTTACATTTCGCTATTACCTCCACCCAACTCAACAAAATATATGGATACAAAGGCTGCTTATCCCTTTGAACACATGCCGTAGAAAGAATAGCTATCTCCCCTGGGAGTGCAACGATGAGCGGCATACGTACGAAAAGTAGGAATTCGCCGTGCTCTACCTTTGCATATTGCTGACCTGCGAGCTTTCTTAGGTGCCAGTACGATGAGTAAGTATAGCAATCTTGTTTCTCAGCGTGTGAGCTTATTAGATGTTAACAGCATGATGCGACGGATGAAGAAAATGTCGAAGCTCAAGTTGCAGAGAGCAGAGGAGACAGAAGATGCTTAGAATTTCTGTCATGTACACTCCAAGATGCTAAACACAATCTTGCAACACCACTTCATAAACTTCAAGCCTTACGTCGTAGTGCAAATTAGCTGAGTGGAGATACTGCTATTAGATGAGCGAGTGGTGCTAGTAAATATGTTGAGGCTATAGAATAAACGGGTCGCCCTCTACACCTTCTTCCCTGTCTGCGCTTCCCATTTCCCTATTTCTTTTCGTACCCTCTCAACAACCTCTTCTTCCGTGCTGCTCTGCCCAAATGCCTCTACAAAATTACCTCGCGGGTCCATAAGATAAACGTATATTGAGTGATCAACGAGGTAGTCGCCAGCTGGATCTGCATTGGGAGGTGTAGAGAAATACACTCGGTATGCTTTGCAAGTTTGCTTGACAGTAGCATATTCGCCTGTTAGACCAAGAATACGAGGATGGAAATCAGACAGGTAACGCGCCATCTGGGGCACGCTATCGCGAGCGGGGTCGACAGAAATGAAGACGGGTTGGAATATCCGTCCATAGTCCTTTTCTATATGTACAAGGTCAAGAAACGAAGCAAAGCTAGAAACGGAATACGTACCCAATGAGGTGACTATACCGCCAATTTTGTCCAACTCAGCAGGGCAGATATCGGGGCAGTTCGTAAATCCAAAATACATCATACTCCATTTCCCTAATAAATCCTTCTCCGAGAAAGATTTATTGTCATGGGTCGTGAGCACAAACGGCCCTCCGACATGGGCACGTCCAACACTCTTTTCTTCCATCTCTTTTTCTGCAAATGGCCGTGAACGACACGACATACAAAATACTACACGGTGACGTACGGCGTTGCTCCAGGAGCTTTGCTTTTTCATGCCTGAAATAGTAGAAAAGACCAACACCCGTAACCACAAAGACGGCAGCAGCTGTCGGTGTGAATACCTAGTGGATTAAAACATGGCCAGTAAGGCCTTTGTACTGCGAAAGTAAGAAAGATGATTTACCCCTACAGCAGTTCTGTCTTGTGTTGAACGAAACTGTGAATAACATCGCTTGAACTTGGAATTGTTGTGGGCTTGAATTTTCTGGGCATAGGATACTCTCGAAGAGTGAGCCCCACGAAGGAGAACACTGGGACTGAGAGATTTCGTTCGAAGGAAAGGGAACAAGGTGGCGGACATTTGGATAAAGGAGACGCGACAACCCAAATGCGAATTTCGGTCTTACATATCCTCAGCATTGGACTTAAAGCTCATATAACTCATAGCTCGTACTAAGACCAGCACTTAGCTTAAATAAAGGAATGTTTTTACACCACAAACACGATTCTTCGGTGAAGGAAATTGCGTAGACAGCGATCACGCTATTACATTGTAGTTTGTGCCAATGCGGCACCTATAGGGAGAATAGGGGAGTGCCGATATATCCAGTGGATGCAGCTTTTACGAAGTGTCTTCGCTGTGAGATAAAGCTTCTCAATATTGCACTCAATAGCTGATCTCAAGGACTTGCAGTCAGCGCAAAACGCCAATATTCACGCCATAACGCTCTTCATTGCAACGGAACTCACGACAATATTATCTATAATTGCACGTTCACGAACGTCATCACCTGCGGCTTCCTTGACCGCTGGTTCCACGTTTAGTTTGTAATACTGACCAGCGAGAAACAATATGAGTTTCAGAATGCATGCCTAGATGATGATCGTTACCTTCTTGATAGAAGACCAGTCAGTCAGTTCCTGCAAGGTGTTTTGGGGAACAATATTCCCTTCCACAACGCATTTCATTCCGCTCTCTACGTCCACAAGATCGGGAGATGTGATTCGAACGACGAAAAGAGCCGACGAAGTGTCTGATACACCATATCGCCTGATGGCTTCAGATATCTGATGAAATCAAATGCATGAAAGAGCCAGAAATATCGATACTGCATAAGACACATACGTTATTTGTGGGGTTCAGACACCATAGGATTTCAGAGTGCACTGTCCTTGTCCGCAACGATTTCTGCGAGTCAAAAAGGATGGCTTGATAAATGGCTGTCTGGAGATGCAACATGCTTGTGATCTTTCATGTGGACGTTTGAATGCTGCCTAGGTGTAGAAAAACGGCGAGACCACTGACGAGACGAGCATCGATGAAAGCATAGTTGATGGCCTCGCGTTCAATGTCTCCCTCAGGTGCTGCCAACGTTGCAGCCTTTACTATACGTGATCTGAGAGCTGCAGAATTGCTGACATTGGTGAAAAGGGCGACGTGGACGACGGAAAGATGGGTTGGAAAATGAGGATATCGATATATTTCCATTTTGTAGAGACGGTATCCAGCAAAAGGCAAAAGGCAGAGCCGCGCCTGCAATAAACCTTACACACAACCACCGCAGCCTGGGCGGCATTCAAAGTCCCATTCAAGTTCCACATTCCTCACTTATACTGATACCACACCCTAGGCAACATTTAAAGACCTGTGCTCGTTGTTCGACACGATGAGGCCCTTCAAAGCCATTTTACAACTTCCGCTGTCGTTGCTCGTCGCATCTTTGACAGTCCGTGCAGCTGCCGTGCCTGTCAAATCCACACACCTTACACCTGAAGACTTTAAGCAAACAATATCGGAAGGCGTCTGGTAAGTAGACAGCTAATCATTTAAGCAACCTCTTTTAAATTCTGTCCAGGTTTGTTGAACACTTTTCACCATATTGCGGGCATTGTCAGAAATTTGAACCTACATGGATGAATCTTGTGGAAGAGTTCGAGAAATCATCAGACCCAGGTATACATCTTGCGCAAGTCAATTGTGCTGTTAATGGCGGTACGATCATTCACTATTGTAATGAATATTGTCGTCCTGACCCATCACCGAAGACCTCTGCTCGGAAAATGGGATCACTGGATATCCTCAGATGAACCTTTATCGCAACGGCGAGTTCGTCGAGATGTATCGCAAGGACAGAGACTTTGACATGCTCGTGGAGTATATCAGTACGCATGCAGAACCTACTGCTACTCCTTCCGTTCCTTCAACCACCGCTGCCGTCGAAATACCAACATCAACGCGCCCCGCCGAGCCTTTACATGTCCAGACGGCACGAGCAGCTCTCAATCCTTCCGGGGCAGTCGTTTCACTAGGACCCGATAATTTCCAGGACTTCATCGACCAGGGCCCAACATTCATCAAGTTCTTTGCACCATGGTATGTCCAGATGGCTCCTTCAAAGACAGCTTGTTCATCTTAGTTTCCAAGGTGTGGGCACTGCAAAAAACTTGCACCTGTTTGGACACAACTCGCCAGGCACATGCAAAATAAACTAAATGTCGCAGAGGTCAATTGCGATGACCATAAATCACTGTGTACAAGTCAGGGTGTCACTGGCTTTCCCATGCTGTTCTACTACGCCCATGGAGCCAAGACTGAATACACGGGCGGGAGAAAATATGAACAACTGATTGCATTTACGGACAAAGCAGCAGCACCGTGAGTGCATCTCTATATGTGACAATTGTATGGAAAATTGAGTAGGACGTGCCATTCTTCACAGTACAATGGAGGAAATCACTGCTGATGCTCTTGAGGGATATGTTCAAAAACATCCCGTCTTGTACCTCCTTTTACACTCTTCTCCAGACACAGCCATCGTAGTGCGTAATTCGATTTTTGTATTGTTGCTCTTAATAACAGGAGACAACGACAGCACGAAGTCGGCAAAGACTCTCATTTGTTACTTGGATCCCCTCCAATATATACCTCAACATCCCAAGAACTGTTTAACCGCTACAGTGTACCAACGACTTCCTCCTGGGCTCTCCTCGCGCTCAAAGACCACGACTCTAAAATACCTACATCCATGTACTATCCCTCTTCCACCAAGGCTCAAGGCTCACTCACAACTTGGCTCCTGGAGAATCGCTTGCCCACTTCCGTAGAGCTTTCCCGTGACGCATTCCAACAAGTCATGAATGCTCCCCATAAACCTTTGGTCGTCATCGCTGGATCTTACAAGGACTCCGAGGAGAACATCCCCGAGAAAATTGTCGACATTGGCAAGAAATGGAAATTGAGCAAAGGGCATGAAGGTCAGCGGGAGGTGGTCTTCACATGGATGGATGGAGGTCAGTGGGGAAGCTGGATGAAGAATATGTACGGAATGAAAGCAAACTCGGGACCTGCCGTCGTCATCGCCGACCACCAGAGTCTACTTTATTATGACCAGGATCCAAGTGGACAGCCTATCAAGCTCACGTCGACCAGTATATTTTCTGCGATTGATGGCATTAACCAGGGTTCAGTGAACGCCAAGCACTCGGAGAATATGATAGAAAGATTTATACGTGTAAGAGTCCATTTTATCTGCCCCTTCGGGTTCTTACTTACACGTGCAACCTGACGACCCAGGGCTTGAATGACGGAGCGAATTGGGGGGCGGCTTGGATAGCTGAGCATCCTTACATGACAGTATTCATCATAGCCGCCTCACTGGTAACACTTGTGATTGTCGTGAAGCGCGCCTTGTCCGAGGATCTAAGTACCCTGCGGGGTGACTCTCGCAAGTCCAACCGATTGGATTAAGGGAGGCTTGCAGTAGTCATCTTTTTTGGTGACTTTGGAGAATATAATTGCATTACACAGAGTGTCATATTAGCAGTCTAAATTCCAGTATATAATTTATGTAAATAAACTTGCTCTACTTCTGTCAGTCCGATTCTGAGTAGCATAGCCCAGCACTAAGTACTAAGTACTCAGCGCACGACGTTGGCACTAAATCTTAGTACTAGTTGCAGAGCGTTAGCATCGAATTTCAGGCGCGCACGTAGTCAAACGTATGGAAAGTTCTGATACAAATGGTTCACGAGTCACGACAATTGATTTCATGTAGTGGAGATGCTCCTGTAAGTAGTATCATAATACAATCTAATGTACACAGCGTATTCTGTATGCGTTATCTTCAGCAATAAATGAATAGATTATAGGCTATTTACTTTTAAATTGAAAAGCCGGGCAGCAGTCATATAAGAGGTATGCGGAAATGCAAGAGTAAAGAGACTAAATGAATGAAGAGGGGCCTCTACGATCATGGAGCAGGCCAAGGTGATACAGAGTCGTCGAGCATGATGCCTTTGATCCGGTTATATACCGCTGGTGGGAATTGCCTACGGAAAGGTGTATGAGAATCACGAAAAGAAGTAGAAGAATTGTATAAGTACCTTTCTTGTAGCCTTTGCAACAATGCAAGCGCACGATCGCGATTTCCGCTGCCAAGTTCGGCACGGAACATCGATTCCCAAGTAGATGGCTGAAAAAACATGAGGACGTGATTCTTCCCGGAAAAAAGAAAAAAAAAACTTACCTCTCGGTATGAGAGCGAGGTAGGAGAAGCAGGCGCTGATGTCGACGAATCATGAGGTACATGATTGTTTGGCGCAGCTACGCCTCGTGGAGGGTCTGCTAGACCCTCGAATATGGTTCGAGCTTGCTCAATGTTACCACCAGCAGCGTAGCCTTTGATCAGTAGGTTGGCGATATAAGCAGTCATGTGAACAGATGAAGCATTGAGGCGCTCGACATATGTTGGAATGAGGTCTACTCGCTTATGCGTCACTAACACATTGAAGAGGGCTTCGTACGTTACTGCGTCGGGTAAGGGTGTGGCTGAATGCTTGACGCCAGGATGACTGGAAATAGAGTCGAAGATGACAATGGCCTTATCGAGATTCTTCTTGACGCAACCCCAAGCATTGATCAAAGCGGCCCAGTGGCTTCCTTGTAACTGCACAGAATTGCTCGATTCGACAGCTTTGAACACGTTTTCCATGGCGTCAGCATCGATTGGCTCTATAGTACCATATGCATCAATGAGAAGCTGTCAAATTATGATTTAGTAATATGCGTAAACCAGTCTGAAACCACGACAAACCTTGTACGTGTGGGCAGAAGGCTGAATATTAGCAGCCAACAGAGCATGGTAGTAGTGGAGGACTCGTTCACGGTCGGGTTTAGTATGGGTGTACATTTGCATCATGGTATTGTACGGAGGAATGCGAGGCCTGAAGTTGGGCTGCATCGTCATCTCCAGGAATAGCTGCTCGGCAGAGTGAGCATCGCCAACTCGGGCACAAGCAGCAATGACTGCTCCGTAGGTAATCGAGGTAGCGCGAAGACCGGGAGTGGCCTTCATCTGTTGGAACAACTCTAGAGCGAAATCGGCTTTCCTTGCCTTGGCAAGTTTGCTAATGATCGTATTGAAGAGGTAGACGTTGGGCGTGCAACCGACGAGCTGTGCCTCCCTGAAAAGAGCCATAGCATTCGAAGTGTCGTCCGTCGTGTCCTTGACGTTTTCGATGAGCGACCCATATGCATCTGGAGATGGTGCTCCTCCATTCTCGGTAATTCTTGTACGGTGGGCAAAAGCAGCATCCATGTCCCCTTGATGAGCACATGCCACGATCATCTTATCCTCGATCTGGAACCATGAATGGGATTGCCAATGCTTGTGACCCTCTAGAGAAGCCAAAACGATTTGAGCAACGTCATAAAGCCTGCGTACTTTTTCCATCTCCCCAAGTCTGCCAAGACCAACGATGAGCCGTCCGATAGTGGAAGGGTGAGGGTACTTGTGAGAAGCAACACCTGCCTCAAGACGGGCGTAGCCTTCTAAAGCATTGCTTCCCCGACTGGTGGGGTACCATTCATCCACGTAGCGGCTGAGTGCGCCATCAACTGAAACTTGGCTGGTAGGAGGAAGTAGATTGATAGCAGGTTGCTCGGTCTGTGGCGAGTTGTTACGTTGCTTCAACAAAGACTTGTACTGCGCATTGACTTTGGAGAATAATTTATCGAGTTCTTCTTCATCATATCGCGAGTACAGTGCCTTGCTCAGCTCAGTGATGTATCTTGGCTCCATTTTGGAAAGATCCAGATTTTCTTTCGAAAAGTCGACCACCAATGAGGATAAGCCATTGTACGAATAGTTGGGGATAATGGCAGTTTCATCCATAGTGAGGTCATGTGTCCGTTCTACAGATGTAGCAGCCAGGATGAGCATCTCATAGTCCCTACGAGAAAGATGATGATTGTGGATTTCGCCACGTTTCTTGGTGATAGAGTAAGCATGCAGGAGGTACGGAGATAAAGAGCGATTGGGAGGGAGGTCAACGCGACTCAGAAGACGCATAACCCGGATGGCATCTTGGAATGAAGGTGGAGTCTTCTTGCACGCAGACTGCATGATAGGTAGCGAGGCCCTCGCGATGAAATCGCGCACATGTTTGATCCTGTCAAATGCAATCGAAGGAGCATCTTTAGCTTCTTCCTCCGCCTTCTTGGTCTCCAGCTCCTGGTGCTCAAGGAAACGTTCTGCGAGGTCAATTCCTTTCTCAGAAACACCCAGGCGCGCATACTGCTGGAAAAGTCCTTCGACCATGTTCATCATTTCACGAGGATAGATGGCATATGGGCTGACTGATGTGTCCTGTTCAACCACATTCATGACCAAAAAGTCCAAGATCTCCAAGGCTTCCTGCTTGGGTAACGTAGGATTGCTTTGCATATAATGCATATTGGCCTCGAAAACCATGATACGATCCGTGGCGCGGACTTCGATGCCATCCTGTGCAGCGTTATCCACCAATATGGCGAAAAGCCTGTTAAGATCTTTAACCATGCCAGCATCGGCAAGGTTTTCCAGCATCACCACCCAAGCGATTTGATCGGGACGGGAAGGAACCAGAGAAGCTTCGAATGGATGGCGCGATGAAGCGCCCTGTTGCAAAAGCCTGTCGAACCAAGAAACAGCTGTGGCTACGTCTCCAGACTCACAGAATCCGGTGATAATCTGAGTGAATGTTGATGAAGCAGGAGGGGGCACGTCAGTCACCCCATCAGTTTTACCTGCATTGCTGTCCATCATCTGTTCCAACAAACCGAGCGCGCTAGCTGGCTGACCGCATCGGAAGTAAGCCTCGATCATCCTGTTCCAAACCTGAAGTTGACTGCGGGCTAAGGAACCAGAGACGTTGGTATCGGGGACAATAGTGGAGTCGGAGTAAGACCATTTGACACGACCAGCCTTGGCAGCCTCCCTGTACTCGTTGAAGACCTCCTTTGCACCTTGAAGGTCCCCAACGTTCGTGTAAACCGATATCAGGTTGCTGAAGACAATGGACGTGGGCATGACATCGGGGCGAGCTTCAAGATGGGCAAAAACATGGATTGCAGCATCGATATTGGCATGGAAAGCACAAGAGCGAAGGAGATTCTGGTATACATGGAGGGGAATCTTCCTTTTACCGCCAAGTACGCTGACAGCTTCGAACAATGCCATAGCTGATCCAAAGTTATTTTCTGCCTTTAGTTGCTCGATACGCTTCTCGTCCGAAACAGTCGAGACCGTTTCCGTGCGACCATGCATCACTCGCCGTTTCACCCTAACTTCCAACGAAAGGACGCTTCTATAGATTTCGATATCGCGGTCGGTAAGTGCAAGGATGAGAGTCACGTAAGTCCTGTAGTTGGGCAATACGGAGGCTTTGACCATGTCGTTATAAGTCTGTAGAAGTAATGTCAAGGGCTCTCCCGCACGACGGGTCTCGTAGAGAGCTGCAAGTGCCATGTTATATTCCGAAACCAAAGGTGTTCGGTCTATCGTGTGTAGTTTTTCAACTTCACTGATCACACGAGCACCGTCTTTGGATTTTGCCGCGTTCTTTAAAGCAGTGTAGAGTTCGGAAGGCCCACCAAGTGCATCTTCTTCGACTGGATCCTCAAGCGAAACTGCAAATTGAGCCTCAGAAGGATCGGATGAAGGAGCATTGTGTAATGACGCAGAATTAGGGATAAGTGACGGGGGAAGATCATCGATATCACCGGAAACACTGGCAGCAGTAGTAGAATTATCGCGGACATGGACCGGGGGAGAAAGAGATGCATCAGAGTTAGTGGACAGGATAAGACCGGATGTGTGTTCAGCGTCAAGAGCCTGTTCCTTGGGGGCGAACGCGTGACGAGAGCGCGCATGCAACTGAACAGTTTTCAAGACACCCAATGTTTCTCCTCGTTCCTGCCGACCTTGGCCGAGAGAGAGAGAATGACTGCGTAATCGAGTTCGTTTGGACGTGTCCCGTGAGGTGGTGCGTGTAGGAGCGAATTCGTCTCTGTCATCGCTTTGACCGTTGTTTCCGTCTTGTGAAGTGGATGCATTGGCTTGTGTGACTGCACGACCCGCACCCTGTATGCAAATTGAGCTCGATAATCACGCATATATGCGAACTGGGAGCACGACAAACCGTATAACCATTGTAAAAACGACTGCCAGCGTTAAATTTAGCGCCACCAGGACCAGCGCCGTTACTGCCCCAGCTGGAAGAGCCAGCACCGTTCCAGCTGTTTAGACCGTTTGTTGTAGTATTAGGACCGGACGAGGACTGGAGTTGGAGTACATTGCGAATGGTATGGCTAGTTTGGTTCTGTACCGCAGCTACCGCACGTGAAGTGTGGAGGAATATGTGATTTGCGACCTTTGGCAGCATGGTCGCTGACCTGTGAAAGGAAAGGCAGGTTCGTATATATGTTGGTGGACAAGCTGTAAGCTTGTGGGGGGATCCTATAAGTCCAGGATAACTGTGCCGGGATGGGAGCGTGGCTGAACGGCAGACCATATACTCAAAAATATCAATTCGGGAAAAATCGGATTCCCACATCCCTCCCTCCCTGCTTTTGCCATACCAACCTTGCTCTCGGGTTAGGGTCACTTCCAACACCGCGACTGTCGCAATCTCAAGTTATCTTTACAGCATGGGCACGAACATGTTTGCTAGATTTACAACGGGAGATCATGATAATATCGTTTGGTAAAATCAGGCAAGGATAACATTGTAGGAGTTGTAGAAAACAATGCAAGCAACAAAACACAGCAAAAATGAGAGCAGATACAACCACTTCTACACAAATTCTATCAGTAAATCTCTTTCAAGTTATTCATGTAGAAATAAGAGGGGATTTCAAGCGAGTTCTCTGACGTGAGCTGACGATCAACCTTAGCACCGTGTACTGGCAGCAACTCGATAGGACGTGAAATGTCAGTGAGTGGGATGATATCTCCCAATGTCATCCTACATCAGGAAAGGTGCATTTTTCTTTGAGTGACTTTGAAGACTTAGACTGTCAGGCAACAAATACGAAGCTATATAACAAAGCTCAATGTCTGGTCAAGTCCTTCCTTGAAGGCGGTGAATCAGAGTATGAGAATGAAGAGTATCGGTAAGAGCGCAAATCCAAACTAATATTGAACTAGAGAACAATACATTGAGTATATACTTCTCTATATAGTGAACGGCGATGGTCAGACCGAGAAAGGGAACTACTGAGAAAGTGGTCTGACCAGCTAACTAACCAATAAGAAAAAAGGGAGGAAGTGGTCCGATCTATCGTGTTTACTAATCGTATCAGAAAACGTATTGGTAAGGGATATGCGATTGGCTGTATCAGTAAGCCCATGAGAAGGCGCTGATTCACTACCTTCTTCGCTTATCAATATTCCTCCGAAGTATTCCCAGACATAGCACTGAATCGTGGCTATGTCATCTGGATATCTTCTTGAGGGTCGACAACGAGTCTACCTCGTTGTAGGTACGATAGAACGTGAGTGTGAAGAGAGAATAAGAAGAAAAATGATAAAAGTAATAAGACACCAGCTGTAATCTCTAGTCCAAGGGCAAGAGGAGTGATGGGGATCGAATCTGCTAACCACGACATGACGGGAATGCAATAAGAAAAATCGATTCCTCACATTAGCTCCCCTTTTATAAGACTCGTGTCCTCATGAGTCCGGATGCGGCACTTTGGAACTTGTTACTAATCCAATCAAAAAGCATTGGCGGTTTAGAAGTGGCGGTGTAGTTTTCGTAAGGACGGAAATGAAGAGAAGCGGTAATAATACGAGGGGCGGCGGGATTTGTTTTGTGGAAGGTGGCGAGTAAATCAGCGACATGCGTAAGATTGGTGTCGGGTTCCCAAGTGCGTTCGGAGACTGGATAACCATGCCAGTGAATTAGGTAGTCGAGCTTACTACCTTTCAGTTTAGTCGGTCTGGAAGCGATTATACTCTCTACTTCGTATTCGTCTATTCCTTCCACAATCTCGGGTGGTGGCCGCGAGGAAATTGGTTGATTGAGGAATTCGGGAGGGTGGTATGGTGAGAGGATGGCTTCGTTGAATACGGGGTGAATGGACTTCCAACTTTTAGGGATGTCGAGTTGATATGCGGAAGGTCCGACCTTTTGGGTGACTTTGAAAGGTCCGAAGCGTTTATCGTCTAATTTCTTCATTGGTCTATCCGTTGTGATATTATGCCCTTCTAACCAGACTTTGTCGCCAGCTTGGTACTCCCGGGAGGGGGATTTCTTACGGTCGTAATACTTCTTCAGATTCTCGTTTGCTACAAGAAGGGAGGATTTCGTGATATCATGGAGTTTTTTCATTTGTTCGCTAAATTCTGCTGCAGAAGCGGAGCGAGGGGACAACGTGGTGGTGATATTCGTTCTTGGGTGTAACCCATAGTTCAAAAAGAAGGGTGTTTGATTCGTTGCGGTATGGAGGTGGTTGTTGTATGTAAACTCAGCAATGGAGAGCCAGTCTGCCCAGTCATCTTGTCGATGATTTATAAAAACGCGGAGGTAGTGCTCTAGATCCTGGTTGATCCGTTCGGATTGTCCGTCTGTTTGAGGGTGATAGCCTGTAGAGAGGCCTGGTGCTATCCCCATTAGGTCGTAGAAGTCTTTTGTGAATCGAGACATGAATTGAGGACCTCGATCGGAGACGATCTTTTCAGGAATTCCGTGGAGTCGTATTACATTATCTCGGAGTTGACGTGCATAACCGGCCGAGTCGAGAGTGACGAAGGTGGGGACGAAATGGGCCATTTTACTAAATCGGTCAACAAAGACCTGAACGGCGGTGTAGCCCTTGGATTCCGGTAATGCGCCTATGAGATCGGTGGTGATAACCTGCCAAGGCCGATCTGGTATCGGGTTCGGGTGTAGAGGGGCGTTAGTCTTTGTCCGATGTGCCTTGGTGCGTTGACAACTCTCGCATCCTCGTACATACCGTCTGATATCTGTACGAAGACTTGGCCACCAGAGCTCTCGGTTTACTCATTCAAACATCGTTCTTTCTCCTGGGTGCCCGGCTAGGGCTTCGTCGTGATGATCTTTCAATATTCGCGCCCTTAGTTCGTGATTTCGGGGAACGTATACTCGGTCAGCTAAAGGGATCGGGTAGGAACTCGTCGCGGACTCTCTCTTGATCCAGACGATCCTATCCTTCATCTTCCAGGTATCCGGCTTCTCTTTCAAGTTCTTCTTTACTACGTCGTCTTGTTTCTGGAAGCTTTGACGTATATCTGGTAGGTATCCTTCGTTGGTGTCAAATAATTCGAAATGTACGTCTGGGAGAAGTATCTGATCTTCGTTATCGTTTGTGCCTTTAGGATGATCGATCTGTCTGCTTAACAGGTCGGCCTTCGTATTCTGATTTCCTTTGACGTGTTCCATCTTAAAATTATAATCTGCAAGCTGGGATGACCATCGAGCTTGGCGTCGATTGTATTTCTGAGGTTGACGGAAGTAGAGGAGGTTTTGGTGATCTGTGAAGATGGTGAAGGGGTGTTTCGATCCTACAAGGTGATGTCGCCATTCATCTAACGCCGTCATGACTGCGAGCATCTCTATAACGACTGAGTTGCACTACTGGAAGAAACCAGGCAACTCAACGTCAATCTTAAGCAAGTAGTTGAACAAGTGTATAAAGACGAAATCAAAAGCTAGAGTATGTACATCGTTGAGTGTCTACTTATATATGTAAGAACTCATGTCAGCCATGAGGCGCTGACTGATAGACATGAGGATGTATCGTGTTTAGCTTGGTAAGATGATTTGTAAGTGATCATGTGACTTGGGGTCACGTGATGAGATAAGAAGATAAGATAAGGAAAGCTACGTGATAAGATAAGGAGAAATGAGTGTTTCTACTTCAGAGTTGGATATGAAGGGTGAAATATTAGGTATATGAGAAGAGGATCGTGACATTACCCCCCCTTTAGGACTTTCGTCCCGAAAGGTTGGTTCAAGTTTGCCATTTTCCCAGTTAAATATCCTATGCTTGTGGGAAAATTCTGTAAAGTTTTCGAACGGTTGATAATGAAGTAAGAAATTGATTCGGCGTGGAGCGGATGGGAAGTGATCATGGAAGTCTTTGACTAGTTCTGGCGAATTTTTGACATTTCGCTCAGGTTCCCATGTTCGTTCTTCCTTTCCATATCCTCTCCAATGTACCAAGTATTCTAACTTGCCACGTTTCAATCGTGAGTCAAGTATTTGCTCTACTTCGTATTCTCTTTGTCCGTCAACTTCAGCGGGGGGTGGAGGTTTTGGTTTCTTTTGACCAGGAAAGATTGGTTCTTTATAAGGGTGGAGGATCTTTTCATTGAACACCGGATATACATTTTTCCATTTGCCGGGTAGTTTTAATTTGTAAGCGGCCGGTCCGGTTTTCTTTTCGACTACGAATGGTCCGTGTCGTTTATCATCCAGTTTCTTTGATGGCCGATCAGTGGTAATGTGTTCGGCTTCTACATAGACCCTATCTCCTGGTTCATATTCAAGACTTTCTTTTTTCGTTTTGTCATATGATCTCTTCATAATCTCGGCTGCCTTTGCGAGAGATTTTTCTGCTTCTTCCCTCGTTTCTTTCATTCTTTCTACGAACTCTTCCGCACTTTCGCTCTTTACTCCTTTCCTGACTCCTTCTACTATTTTTGGGTGTTGTCCATTGTTTAAATAAAAAGGACTAAAGCTGGTAGCTGAATGTTCTTTATTGTTGTAGGAGAACTCTGCTAATGGTAACCAATCTGCCCAGTCGTCTTGTTTATGGTTGACAAAGATTCGGAGATATTGTTCTATCTCTTGATTAATCCTCTCTGTTTGACCATCGGTTTGTGGGTGATAAGCAGTTGATGGGTTTCCCTTTATACCTAGCATTGTGTAGAGGTCCTTCATAAAATTAGAGACAAATTGGACTCCCCGATCTGAGATGATTTTATCGGGTAATCCATGAAGTTTAAATATATTGTCTCTGAATAGTCTCGCTACTCCTTCTGAGTTCAACTCAGCATGTGTCGGCATAATCCTGATCATTTTTGAAAAGCGATCAACAACTACCATGATAGTGTTGTAACCCTTTGACTCTGGTAATGGTCCTATGAGATCCGTTGATATGATTTGCCAGGGGCGGCTTGGAATCTCATTCGGATGTAACGGTGCGGCCTTTTTCTGATGATCTGTTTTTGTTCTTTGACAGGTTTCGCATCCAGTTACATATTCTTGGACGTCTTTGTCCATATATGGCCACCAGTACCATCGGGTAATCAATTCCTTTGTTTTATACCGGCCTGGGTGGCCAGCTATTGGGGAATCATGATTGTCTCTGATGATCGTCTCTCTGAGTTTTCGGTCTTTTGGGACATACATGCGAC